TGGGTTGGCTTTTAGGAACTTGTGGAAAGGAATGGTCTCACTCACCCTTTTGTCCCAGATTCGGACGTCTCCATCATGGCTGGACGCCAGCAGGTGTTGGTTCCTCCGATTCCACTTCACCTGAGCCGCTCCGGCTGAGACAGAGACACGGAGACGGTGGGTTCTACAGAACCAGTGTCTAACAGGACGCGCTGCATTCAGGTGAACTGGGACAGCAGCGTTACTCACCGACAGCAGAGAGCGCCACCGTGGGCTTCCGGGTGTCCCTGAGGAGGCAGACAGACAGACAGACAGCGGCTCAGTCACCCAGATCATCAGCGGAACCAGAAGGACTTAACGGGTTCTGGTCTCCTCTTACCTGGTGTCCCAGATGTAGATGTACGTGTCCACAGAGCTGGTCACCAGGAGCTCCGGATCGAACCAGGACCAGTCTAGATCGCTGGAAGCACAAACACACCACAGTGAATCAGGCCTGCAGGCGGGTCGGCCCGTTTGACCAGAACCTGGGCTCACCTGATGACCCGGGTGTGTCCCTGCAGGGAGGTGTGGGCCTCCCCAACGCCGTCCCTCCACGAGTACAGATCCACACGCTGGTTGCTCTGCAAACAAAAAGCAAAGTTTTATTCAACCGCAGAACCGCCTCAAAGCAGCAGCGGAACGTCCAGAACTAATCAAACCTCTGAGTGGGACCGGTTAACCCAAACACCTGCTCTGACACCTTAACATCCCTGCTTCATGTCTCCACTGGATCCAGATCTGTCCCGACTACGTATGAAACCGGTTTACTCCTCCTGGTGGCCTGCCAGGCTCCAGAGGTCTCTGAGGGACGTCTGGAGGACAGCGGGGGACGCCACCAGGGCTAACTAGTTACATCTAACTAGTTACAAGCTGATAACTCAGGTATTGATCCGTCAGAATAACCAGCTGTTTGCAACTAGAAAGAGTAACAAGTAACTAGGATACATAACTAGTTATTATTGCAAGTAACAAATTACTAGATGAAAAAATTGGTCACCAATAAGAGCAACTACTTACTGGGCAAAGTAACTGGTGACTAGTCATAATAAATAGTAACTAGTTGGTTGGCAAAGTAAGTAGTTAGTAGGAAAAGTAACAAATTATTATTAAAAGAAAGTAGTTACTAAACATAACAGAAGTAATTGGGCAAAATGGGCAATAACTAGTCAGAGTAATTAGTTACTAGTCAAAGTAGCTAATTACTGGGCAAAGTAACTAGTAACTTTGACTTGTAACTCATAACTGGATGACGTAACCTTGTTCCTGGTTTCAGTAATCTGTCAGAATAAGTCGGATTAACAGAAAGTATTAACCAGAAAGTATTAAACAGAAAGTATTAAACAGAAAGTATTAACCAGAAAGTATTAACCAGAACGTATTAACCAGAAAGTATTAACCAGAAAGTATTAACCAGAACGTATTAACCAGAAAGTATTAACCAGAAAGTATTAACCAGAAAGTATTAACCAGAAAGTATTGTGGTTTCTCATGGCGTCTGCTGCCATTTCTGTTGTGACCAGGATTGGCTGAAACCACATCTGGTAGAAAGACTTTAGGCGTCGTTTTGCCAAATCAGCTGGAAAGGTTCAGTTTAAAGGAATAGTACACCCAAAACATGATTAGCCTTCATTTTCTACTCACCCCCATGCTGAACAAAACTCTGGAGTACTTTTTTGATATCTCAAATGCATCTGGAGATCTGGGAGGCTTCTTGCTGTCTGCTGACATTCAAATAATGGAGGTCTATGGCGCCCGAGGCAGAAAGGTCCATAAAAGTCCACAAAAAACGTGTCAATATTCCTCCATACTGCTCGTCCAATGTATTCCAAGTGTCCTGAGTGGGTAATGTCCATAATTTACTCGAAACGAAGTCATGTAGAATGTTTTTAGAGCATAAACAGTAGTGTATAGGATTTCCTGAAAGCGCGTTCACGAGTCTACGGAAACCGCGGCAGACCAAACCAGATGAAAGTGCGCATTCAGCTCGGCAAAGAACTCATGCTCTTCCTCAACACTGAAGTCCTCAGACATTTTTCTTTCGTTGTTTCTTTCTTTGCACAGGTAAACAGCACATTTCTTCTTCTACGCTTGCATTATCGGCAGAGCAGACGCTGAATGCGCACTTTCATCTGGTTTGGTCTGCCGCGGTTTCCGTAGACTCGTGAACACGCTTTTAGGAAATCCTATACACTACTGTTTATGCTCTAAAAACATTCTAAATGAAGGCTAATCATGTTTTGGGTGTACTATTCCTTTAATGTCTCTCCTTCCTCCAGACAGATGATGGGAGCAGATGCAGATTAATCCAACAAAACCTGAGATTATTAATCTGGCTTCCAGGTTAAGAGTAACTAGTTACAAGCAAAGTAATTCTGCAGATCCTGGTTTATGATTCAAAATCTGAAAAATGAGGATGATTGTCCTTTGTTATTCATCTGGTAGTTTAGTTATCTACGGAAGAGGATTAGGGCCACTGAAAAAAAAAAGTTAACTGATTTTCTAATTTTATTTCAGCATAGTATAGGAAAAACGTCAGAATTCTGAGAAAAAAAATCAGAATTCTGAGAAAAAAATAAGAATTCTGAGATTATGTAGAACTGTAACTGGAGCGTGTAACAAAAGTAATTTCCCTCTGGGATTATTAAAGTATTTCTGATTCTGATTAAAGTCAGAATTCTGACTTTTTTCCCATACTAAACTGAAATATAATTTTAAAATCAGTAAACTTTTTTTTCCCAGTGGCCCTAATCCTCTTCCATAGTTATCAAATATAGAATGTTTGATATAAATAAAAAAACTTATTGACAAATTAATCCTCTGAGGATCAGAGGAGACACCTGAGCGTTGCTCCAACCTGGAAACCCCACAGCTGAACTGAATCAGAGGCTGAATCCTGGTTCTGTTCATCGGATGTTTCCATGTTGGATAAACGCTTCCTGATGTTCCACAGAGACACGAGCAGAACTCACCGAGGCAGCGAAGACGTGGGCCTCTGATCTGTGAGGGTTCCACTGGACCGTCCCCACATCCCACTTACTGTGGCGCCCGATTTTCCGCGGCGCCTCGGACGGAGCCTCCAGGTTCACCATGTAGAGGAAGCGGCGCCTGAACAGCAAGAGAGGCGTCAAAGAAACAGACACTGACCGTTTTCTCTCAGAATCTTAACTCCTGTTATTAAATCAGCTCGGATCAACAAGTATAGCGATGATTCTTAGTGCCTGCAGCCGGGAATCGAACCATCGACCTCAGCAGCAGCAGCTCACCCTGACAGAACGGCGTGGGATCCCAGGCAGTCCACAGACATGGCGGTGGCCTAAAACAGAAGAGAGAAGGTCTATGGTCCATAATGAACTTTTTGAAGAGTTTCAGTCTGGCTTTAGAGCTCATCATAGCACTGAAACAGCTCTGGTGAAAGTCACTAATGATATTCTCATGGCCTCAGATAATGGACTTGTATCTGTGCTCGTCCTGTTGGATCTTAGTGCTGCATTTGATACAGTTGATCAGAATCTTGGAGAGAAATATCAGCTGTGCTGCTGCCATCAACACCTTTGTTTCTAGATGTTGGAGCTTGGCCTGTTTTCCAGTGTAGTCCTGTTTCTCTGACTGTGACTAACTGGATGTGCTCTCTTCATCCTCTGACATGGGAGCTGGCTCGGAGCTCGTCTGCCTGGCTGTGTGTTTCCTGGACGGGGCCGCCTGTGGAGCTGGTTGACAGTTGCCTTTTGTATCTATGCTTCTTTTTCTATGTCTGCTTCTGTCTCCTTGAACCCCAGTGGGCCTCAGCAGATGGCCGCTCACACTGAGCCTGGTTCCTGCTTCCTGTTCAAAGAGAGTTTTTCCTCTCCACTGTCGCTACAAGCATGCTTAGTGTGAGGGATTGCTGAAGAGTCAATGAGTCGATGCAATCAACTGGTTTTCCTTAGATAGAAAACTTTGAATCAATCTGACTGGATGATCTGGTGAACTGGAAAGTTGAGATGACATGATGTGAATTGGAGCTATAGAAATACACTGAATAGAATTAAAAATTGAATTGACGGTCAGAGATGATCATGGTGTCTCCAGGATTATCACTGCAGCAGAACCAGAACTCTTTAGAACTGTGACCTTCAAAGCAAAGAAAAAGGTTCTGGCTCAGTAAACACCAGAGTTCCACATTAAGTTCAAACTTCAGTACTAACCTAAAGCTACATTCCAATATGGCTGCTGAGGGAGTTCCTCAGTTTGAACATCTGGTCTGAGTCTCACTAGAAGATCGATGTTCATCAGAGAAAACATCGATCTGCAACCAGGACCAGAGATACCAGAGCAACCAGTGACAACATCTCACTGGGATGGTCCTCAGGAGGAGCTGGACACCACAGGGATGTCTGAGGCTCCCTGCTGTCGCCTTAGCAACCTGGACATGTTTATCACGTGACCTTCCGGTCAGAAACGGCTGAGTCAGCATAAAAATTTATAAATTAAATAAATAACTAAATAAACACCTGAGCATCCCGAAACTCCACCACTACATTCTCACTGCTCCAGCGCGCCGCCATCTTCCCCTCTTTCTCCACTGTCAACAAAACCTCACGTGACCTTATGAGCTCGGATGAAGCGTTCTGGGACGGTGGGAATTTAGAAGTCCAATGATGAAAAGCATGAATCCCATGTCCTCTACCGGAATGACTTAACCTTTCCTGCACACTTATAAGATCATTACCTAAAGAATTACTGTTAATGAATAATTAAACAGTTTATTCAGTGTTTTCTTATTATATGGAGCACATAAGCCAGGGAAGCATGACACAACTAATAATGTGATGACCATTAATAACTTCAAGTATTAATAGTTTATAATCACATTAATTAATTTATTACTTAAATATTAATGTTATCGTTTGGGTAAATCTATTTTACAGGGTATTTATTTATTTAAAGCGATGAAAGTTCCCACCCGGAGGATGGTTTTAAAGCACCTTCTACGTCATCAGACCGTATCCTCGCCTCTGATTGGTCGCCGGAGCTTCCAGTCGTCAAAGCAAGATGGCGCCGTCCCTGGTGGAGCATGTTGTCGCGGATGCTGGAGCGTTTTTAAAGAAAGCTCCGCTGCAGGTGAGTCGTTATGTTCCGGTGAGCGGAGCCGGGCCGCCGGTGGCGGAGCTTCGGCTGGGGGGGAGGGGAGGCTCCGCAGGCAGACCGACGACAGCTGCTCTTCAGCGGCCAGAATGTGGCCTCGGTCCGCTGCTGGGAAGCCTGGGGGAGGATTTAACGGTGGGTCACAGAGCAGAACCATTCAGTACCGAACCTCCAGGATAGTTAACAGGGTTATAATCCCGGTCACAGCGGGATCCCACCCACTATAGACCTGAGCTGGGACCAGTCAGGGAGTCCAGGAGCTGCTGTGGTAGCGCCTGTCCATGATTGGCTTGTGGGTCACCTGCCAGGTGTTCTGGAATCAGAGACCATGTTTCCATGGCAACCGGAACCACGAGACATGAGCTCTTTGGACTACTCTGGTGTCTCCATGTCTGCTGAGGTTCTGTTCAGCAGTAACAGAACTTCTGTCCTGACCAGGAGGATCCATCCTGAGAACCATGGGCGGTTCTAGACAGGGGCCAATGGGGGCCAGTGCCCCTGTAGATCATGTCCTGGCCCCTGTTATGGCCCCTGCGCTGGAACAGACATGGTTACTGAGAGGTCCTTTGGATCTATTTCATTTATGTCTTTACAAAATTTGTTTTACTCATAATTTAAAACAATAAGGTGATAATAAGGCTTCAGTGGCATTAAGGTAGGATCCCAGTTTTCATCTGCTAAATGTTTTCAAAACAAAAAAAGTCTAATTTTTACAGCTGAATTCATTTGTTTTTCTTGACTTCTAATTCAGATTTGATTGAAAAACTGTAACTTTACTTAAATTAAAGGAATAGTACACCCAAAACATGATTAGCCTTCATTTTCTACTCACCCCCATGCATAAACAGTAGTGTATAGGATTTCCTGAAAGCGCGTTCACGAGTCTACGGAAACCGTGGCAGACCAAACCAGACGAAAGTGCGCATTCAGCGTCTGCTCTGCCGATAATGCAAGCGTAGAAGAAGAAATGTGCTGTTTACCTGTGCAAAGAAAGAAACAACGAAAGAAAAATGTCTGAGGACTTCAGTGTTGAGGAAGAGCATGAGTTCTTTGCCGAGCTGAATGCGCACTTTCATCTGGTTTGGTCTGCCGCGGTTTCCGTAGACTCGTGAACGCGCTTTCAGGAAATCCTATTCACTACTGTTTATGCTCTAAAAACATTCTAAATGACTTTGTTTCGAGTAAATTCTGGACGCTACCCACTCAGGACACTTGGAATACATTGGACGAGCAGTATGGAGGAATATTGACACGTTTTTTGTGGACTTTTATGGACCTTTCTGCCTCGGGCGCCATAGACCTCCATTATTTGAATGTCAGCAGACAGCAAGAAGCCTCCCAGATCTCCAGATGCATTTGAGATATCAAAAAAGTACTCCAGAGTGTTGTTCAGCATGGGGGGGAGTAGAAAATGAAGGCTAATCATGTTTTGGGTGTACTATTCCTTTAAGTTACAAATATGTTAAATCCCTAAATTATGAATGTATATTGCCCTAATAAGACACAGAATTTTAATTAAATCTAATTGAATAGAAATTTCACTTCATGCAGCTCTCTTAATATAGTTGAATCTCTTGTTTTTTAATTTCATGCTTTTCTGTTCCCTCATGAAAACAACGCTGCCCCCTCCTGGCCCCCTGGTAGACTTTTCTTCTAGAACCGCCACTGCTGAGAATCATTCACCCCGTTTGTTTTCTGCTGCAGGAAATGGGTCGGAACATCTACACTCTGAAAGAGGTTCTGGACGAGATCAGAGACAGAGCCACAAGGAGGAGCCTGGCCTTCCTGCCATACCAGCTCATCTTCAAGGAGCCGCACCCAGAACACATCAGAACCGGTAAGAACCCGACCCAGAACACATCAGAACCGGTAAGAACCCGACCCAGAACACATCAGAACCGGTAAGAACCCGACCCAGAACACATCGGGACCAACCACTAACCGACCCAGAACACATCAGAACCGGTAAGAAACATGACCCAGAACGCACTGGGACCAACCACTAACCGACCCAGAACGCACCGGGACCAACCGCTAACCGACCCAGAACACACCAGGACTAAATACTAATCAGGGGTAACTGGGTCATTAGTTTAACCAAAGCATTAAACTTTAATCCAGTAATGAAACTCGGCGAGGTTCTGGTCCAGTCATGAAACTCGGCGAGGTTCTGGTCCAGTCATCCTGGGCTCCTCTTATGGTTCCAGTGACGGAGTTCTCCAAGAAGACCGGGGACTACCCGAGCCTGTCGGCCACCGACATCAAGGTTCTGGCTCTGACCTACCAGCTGGAGCTGGAGCACGTTGGACCGGATCACCTGAAGACAGAACCGGAGCTTAAGGTAGCGGCTCCGTTTGCCTGGGTTCTCATCCGTCTGCTCCGGGTGTCACAAGTTAAACCAGTAACTTCTGTTTCAGGTGAATGTTCAGAGCACACGGCGCCACCCAGAGGCTCCAGTCAACATCGCAGGATTCCATTTTCCCTCCAAGGTACCGGACCGGCCGCTGAATTTAACCTCCGGGACCCAGTGTGGGAAGCCTGAGTTCTGTTTGTCTCCTCAGAGGTCCGCAGACGGTCCGGCCGTCGGACACGTTCGGAACGAAGCGGAGTCCCCAGACCAGTCGGACCAGTTCAACAGCTTCCAGTTCTGGAGGGACCCCCTGCCGAGCATCCAGGGAGACCTGCTGGAGCTACTGGTGGGTCGGCGCCCTGCAGACTCCGCCTCCAGCCGGCGGGTCGTTGGTACTAACGGGCCGTGGTTCTGTTCCATCAGGGTCCAACTGAGTCTCTGGAGGCTGACGTCCAACAGACGGTCCCAGACGGACACTTCAACAGCTTCCAGTTCTGGAGGGACCCGCTGCCCTGCATCGACGACGACCTGTTGGCCCTACTGGTGAGGTCATCGCCCAGCCTGGTCTAGAACCCGAGACTAGAACGGCAGGCAGAGGGACCCGTGACCTCTGGGGTCACCAAGGGTCTGGGTTTGTGTGTCACTTTAGGGAGGAACCAACCTGAGAAAGTAAACTGCCTGTGATTGGCTACTTCTCAGGAAATCCCGCCTCTTGAGACGGAACAGTTTTCTTCCTGGTTTGGCTCCTGGTGTTAGCAAAGCATCTTTAGGCTAAAGGCTGAATGAGATCATCACATCTAGAACATCCTAGATCTATGAAACAGAATAAAGTGCTGATCCAAGCAGGGCCAGGAAGGATTTAGGAAATTTGGGGCCCGGGGCAAAGACAGGCAGGGGCCCCTTTGAATTAAGACAACGCATAGAACAGCCCCATTCTCCAGATAGAGAAATGTTAATAGAATAGACATCCATTATCTGTTCTGGGTTGTGTCCCTCTCTTCTTGTCCCTTTTCTTCTTGTTTTCCTCTCTGGAGAGCAGAGTTCGCTGCTTTTAGATGTTGTCTCCAAAGTCTCCAGTAGCAGAAAAAAGTCTCTAGATTTGGCGCTAGGAGCTTTTTAGAAATCAAAGTGCTAGAGGGGTCTGAAAAGTGGCTAAATATAGCGACTAAAGCGCTAAGTTGGCAACACTGCTCTTTGCATGGTTTGTTTTCAAATGGTTTGCTGCTGTCTGGTTGGACCTTTCTGAACATGTGCAGCAAATGGACTGATCCAATATGGTGGACACTGAAGGGGGGGGGGGGTTCTCACGGATACGGTGGACTGGGCACCATAGATGTCTAATAAGAACGCTTATTAAGTGTTCTGATGGCATTTTAGCGAAAGGATTTATATAAAAAACAAATACGGAATAGTTCCCCCAGGAACTTGGGGTCCTAGGCCGGGTCCTTTTGCCTAAAGCCAGGCGTACACTGTACCATTTTTATTTTTTTCTCCAATCATTGCGTGCAGCTACAGCTCACACTATACGATGAAACCGCAGAGTTTAAAAGTTCTCAGCTCACGATGTTCGGCCCGACGCTCTGATGCGATCTACCTGCTCACACTGTACGTCTAAAAACCAGGTGGGACTCAGCTCCGCAGTGAGATGGCGCTACTCGGACTCGTCTATCTGAAGCCAAACTTGTAGCAGAGGAACATGAAGCTCACTAGAGTGAAACGCGCTGCCTTGGATATTTGGGCGATTTAGTGCTGAAAGCCCTAAAAAGAAAAGGAGACGACGGATTTGGACAAAGACATGGCTGAGCTAACGTGGCTACTACGGAAGAAGAAGAAGAAGAATCCTTGTTTGCGCTCTGAGCGATTTATCTACGACCACCTTACGACGGCCGACTGAAAATCAGACATGTTTAATTTTCTCCTGACCTTCTGATTCCTGATGGGGGGGGGGGTCGTTAGAGGCCGATCGTCCCTCGTTAGCCCCCGGTTACTTTACACGATGCACCATCAGGATGAAAGTTGACCCGATCGAATAATTCTCCCACGACTGGAAAATGGTCCAGTGTTTGATCGGCTTAATGGTAAATCCAGCTACTGAACCTTTGGTGTTTGTTTCCAGGATGTAGACAGAGCCTCACCGCAGACGGAGCAGAGGGCAGGGGGGCTGCAGGACGACCAATCAGACGACGAGGATAAAGAGAACGAGGATGAGGATGATGATGATGGGGGTGGTGGGGGCTGGATCACTCCCAGTAACATCAGTCAGGTGAAGATGGAGTCAGCTGATTGGACGGAACCGGCTGACGTCAGAGTCGGCTGTCTGACCACCGACTTCGCCATGCAGGTAAGGCTCTCTGAGCTGAACGCTGGAGGTCTGCGCTGCAGAGGAGGTGTGATGAAGTTCCTGTTCTTCCAGAATGTTCTGATCCAGATGGGCCTCCGGGTTCTGTCTGTGAACGGCATGGTGATCAAACAGGCCCGCAGCTACATCCTGCGCTGCCACGCCTGCTTCAAGTGAGTGAGTCCCTTCCAGGGAGACGGGTCAGAACCGTCTGGCCTCGGTGTGTCCATGAAGAACCTTCGGTTCTGCTCTAACATGAAGGTTCTGTCTCCAGGACGACCAGCAACATGAACAAGGCCTTCTGCCCCCACTGTGGGAACCGGACCCTGAAGAAGCTGGCAGTGACCCTCAACGACGACGGCAGCGTCCAGATGCACTTCTCCAGGAACCCAAAGGTTCTGAACCCCCGAGGGCTGCGGGTGAGGATCTCCTGCTGGTTCTGATAAGATCAATCATGGATCTTTGATGTTCTGATCCGACTCTGATCCTGAAACCTCCTGATTTAACCAGAGATTCAAAAACAAACTTTACTGATAAAAGTTTCTATGAACTAAATCCTGCAGGTCGGTAGATTGATCTGCTCAGAGACACAAGAACAGGACCCGTTTAGGACGTTTGGACCGGTTCAGAACCGGTCCGCGGTTCGGTCGGTTCTGCAGCAGAACCGGTCCGCGGGTCGGTGGGTTCTGCTGCAGAACCGGCCCGCGGTTCGGTCGCTTCTGCAGCAGAACCGGTCTGTGGTTCGGTGGGTTCTGCAGCAGAACCGGTCTGTGGTTCGGTCTGTTCTGCAGCAGAACCGGTCTGTGGTTCGGTGGGTTCTGCAGCAGAACCAGTCTGTGGTTCGGTCTGTTCTGCAGCAGAACCGGTCTATGGTTCGGTGGGTTCTGCAGCAGAACCGGTCTGTGGTTCGGTCTGTTCTGCAGCAGAACCGGTCTGTGGTTCGGTGGGTTCTGCAGCAGAACCGGTCTGTGGTTCGGTCTGTTCTGCAGCAGAACCGGTCTATGGTTCGGTGGGTTCTGCAGCAGAACCGGTCTGTGGTTCGGTGGGTTCTGCTGCAGAACCGGTCTGTGGTTCGGTGGGTTCTGCAGCAGAACCGGTCTGTGGTTCGGTCTGTTCTGCAGCAGAACCGGTCTATGGTTCGGTGGGTTCTGCAGCAGAACCGGTCTGTGGTTCGGTCTGTTCTGCAGCAGAACCGGTCTATGGTTCGGTGGGTTCTGCAGCAGAACCGGTCTGTGGTTCGGTCTGTTCTGCAGCAGAACCGGTCTATGGTTCGGTGGGTTCTGCAGCAGAACCGGTCTGTGGTTCGGTCTGTTCTGCAGCAGAACCGGTCTGTGGTTCGGTGGGTTCTGCAGCAGAACCGGTCTATGGTTCGGTGGGTTCTGCAGCAGAACCGGTCTATGGTTCGGTGGGTTCTGCAGCAGAACCGGTCTATGGTTCGGTGGGTTCTGCAGCAGAACCGGTCTGTGGTTCGGTCTGTTCTGCAGCAGAACCGGTCTGTGGTTCGGTCTGTTCTGCAGCAGAACCGGTCTATGGTTCGGTGGGTTCTGCAGCAGAACCGGTCTATGGTTCGGTGGGTTCTGCAGCAGAACCGGTCTATGGTTCGGTGGGTTCTGCAGCAGAACCGGTCTATGGTTCGGTGGGTTCTGCAGCAGAACCGGTCTGTGGTTCGGTCTGTTCTGCAGCAGAACCGGTCTGTGGTTCGGTCTGTTCTGCAGCAGAACCGGTCTATGGTTCGGTGGGTTCTGCAGCAGAACCGGTCTGTGGTTCGGTGGGTTCTGCTGCAGAACCGGTCTGTGGTTCGGTGGGTTCTGCAGCAGAACCGGTCTGTGGTTCGGTCTGTTCTGCAGCAGAACCGGTCTGTGGTTCGGTGGGTTCTGCAGCAGAACCGGTCTGTGGTTCGGTCTGTTCTGCAGCAGAACCGGTCTGTGGTTCGGTGGGTTCTGCAGCAGAACCGGTCTGTGGTTCGGTCTGTTCTGCAGCAGAACCGGTCTGTGGTTCGGTCTGTTCTGCAGCAGAACCGGTCTGTGGTTCGGTGGGTTCTGCAGCAGAACCGGTCTGTGGTTCGGTGGGTTCTGCAGCAGAACCGGTCTGTGGTTCGGTGGGTTCTGCAGCAGAACCGGTCTGTGGTTCGGTGGGTTCTGCAGCAGAACCGGTCTGTGGTTCGGTCTGTTCTGCAGCAGAACCGGTCTATGGTTCGGTGGGTTCTGCAGCAGAACCGGTCTGTGGTTCGGTGGGTTCTGCTGCAGAACCGGTCTGTGGTTCGGTGGGTTCTGCTGATTGAAGGTTCTCTTTTGGCTTCACGGTCCCAACATTCTGGGTCTGGAGTTCTCCAGCTTTTCCGGATCTCCTCCATGGAGGCCTGGTTCTGGTTCTGGTTCTGAGGTCCGTTACAGAGGTCGTCATGTTTCTGTGTCTCCATCAGAGAGCATAAAAACACCCGGCAGGAGGTCGGTCCACTTCCTGGTTCTGCCTCCATTTTGTTCTGTTGGACTCAAAGAGAGACCAGATGTTGAGGAGGTTTTGCAGAAGTTCTGCTTCCAGAAAAGATCCTAGACTGATTATTGGTACCAGAACCAGAGAGGCCGGGTCGCTCCAGCCAGGATCCACAAAGTTCTGTGGGTCCAAACTGGACCTCTGCGGGATCGGACCTGCAGCAGATCTGGTTCTGAAGAATCATCCTTTTACCAACCGGTTCCGTCTGCAGTTTTAGCCCTAAAACCGGATCAGAACCAGGAGGTCCGCGTCTAACCGGGTTCTGCTTCCTGTCTGTGTTGCAGCACTCTCTGCCGCTGCCGCAGGGCGGGAAGCACGCCAACAACCCCCACCTGGTGGAGGACCAGCGCTTCCCCCAGCAGCGGCTCTCCAGGAAGGCCCGGCAGAAGACCGACGTGTTCGACCCGGACTACCTGGCCGGAACGGCGCCGTTCTGCCAGAACGACATCTACAGCCGAGCCGCCAACCTGCAGATCCGAGACGGGCAGAGCGGCGCCGGCAGGAGGCGGGCCAACCCCAACGCCGCCCGCAAGAAGTTCGTCAAGAAGAAGTGATGATGTCATTGCCCACGGTCCCCCCCCCCCTTATGAACAGAACCATGACCCTGTATGGTTCTGGAGGCTTTTATCGGACCGTTTCAGACCATTGAACCAGAACATAACGGACTTCTTTCTTTCACAGGTTCTGGTCGTAGTTTAAAGTTATTTTCTGACCCATTTTCCTTCTTAATGAACATCTGAGGCCCGTTTCACTAAAGCTGAATCTGAAGCGGAGTTGGACCCGTTCTGGTCGGTTGATCCTGGCTTCATCCGATCCGCTGCTTCATCAGGCCCGGCGGCGGTACGGGAGCTAAATGCTGCCGGCAGAATCGGACCCTGAGGTCCATAAGATTCAGCAGATTCACTGAAACCATCAGAATTTAAGGAGATTCTGTTATTTTTCTCTAATGAATAAATAACCTAAAAATGAAAACCTGTCATTTAGTCTCTGTGACGTCGTGGAGATCAAATACATCCTGAACGACATCTGGTATAAAAAGCAGCAGATGATTGACGCCTTTATTTATGATCCACATCAGACCCGATAGAACTAGACCAACTAGAACCTGCAGCAGGTCAACATCAAACAGACTGATAGTATCTGGATAAAATGTCACCGACCCAGAAATCCCACATCCTCCATCCCCGTCCTGCTCCGCGCCGACTTCCTCTGAGTTCAAGGAGAGCAAAACATGCAGAAATGAACGATTAATTTAATGACATATTAAAAAGAGTCAGCATCCAGCAGATGTGCAGCTTCTGCTCAAATATTTTCTCTTGGTTTTTCTAACAGGGATAACTGGGATCGTCCAAAAATGCTTTTTTTTTTTTTTGCTTTGTTTATTGAGCATTCTGAACATAAGACACATTATTGGGACAAATTCAAAAAATGTATAAATAAATAAAAAGTATAAAGAGAAAAACAGATCAAAAAAGGGTAGACATGAATGTAAATGTAGATAAATAAGTAGAGATCATGTTAGACATTAAAGTATCCTCAGGGTCAAGAAGATTCAAAGAGTCAAAATATCTAAGAAAAGGATCCCATGTAGCCTGAAATAACGTGATGGAGCCTCTAAGAGAAAACTACGGAAGAGGATTAGGGCCACTGCAAAAAAAAAAAAAAAGTTAACTGATTTTTTACATTTTTTTTTAGTTTAGTATTCAGTTTAGAATTCTGACTTTAATCTCAGAATTTTGACTTTAATCTCAGAATTTTGACTTTAATCTCAGAATTTTGACTTTAATCTCAGAACTCTGACTTTAATCTCAGAACTTTGACTTTAATCTCAGAATTCTGACTTTAATCTCAGAATTCTGACTTTAATCTCAGAATTCTGACTTTAATCTCAGAACTTTGACTTTAATCTCAGAATTCTGACTTTAATCTCAGAACTTTGACTTTAATCTCAGAATTCTGACTTTAATCTCAGAACTCTGACTTTAATCTCAGAACTCTGACTTTAATCTCAGAACTCTGACTTTAATCTCAGAACTTTGACTTTAATCTCAGAACTCTGACTTTAATCTCAGAACTTTGACTTTAATCTCAGAATTCTGACTTTAATCTCAGAATTCTGACTTTAATCTCAGAACTTTGACTTTAATCTCAGAACTCTGACTTTAATCTCAGAACTCTGACTTTAATCTCAGAACTCTGACTTTAATCTCAGAATTCTGACTTTAATCTCAGAACTTTGACTTTAATCTCAGAACTCTGACTTTAATCTCAGAACTCTGACTTTAATCTCAGAATTCTGACTCTAATCTCAGAATTCTGACTTTAATCTCAGAACTCTGACTTTAATCTCAGAACTCTGACTTTAATCTCAGAACTCTGACTTTAATCTCAGAACTCTGACTTTAATCTCAGAATTCTGACTTTAATCTCAGAACTTTGACTTTAATCTCAGAACTCTGACTTTAATCTCAGAACTCTGACTTTAATCTCAGAATTCTGACTCTAATCTCAGAATTCTGACTTTAATCTCAGAACTCTGACTTTAATCTCAGAACTCTGACTTTAATCTCAGAATTCTGACTTTAATCTCAGAACTCTGACTTTAATCTCAGAATTCTGACTCTAATCTCAGAACTCTGACTTTAATCTCAGAATTCTGACTTTAATCTCAGAACTTTGACTTTAATCTCAGAACTCTGACTTTAATCTCAGAACTCTGACTTTAATCTCAGAATTCTGACTCTAATCTCAGAATTCTGACTTTAATCTCAGAACTCTGACTTTAATCTCAGAACTCTGACTTTAATCTCAGAATTCTGACTCTAATCTCAGAATTCTGACTTTAATCTCAGAATTCTGACTTTAATCTCAGAATTTTGACTTTAATCTCAGAATTTTGACTTTAATCTCAGAATTTTGACTTTAATCTCAGAATTCTGACTTTAATCTCAGAACTCTGACTTTAATCTCAGAATTCTGACTCTAATCTCAGAATTCTGACTTTAATCTCAGAACTTTGACTTTAATCTCAGAACTCGGACTTTAATCTCAGAATTCTGACTCTAATCTCAGAACTCTGACTTTAATATCAGAACTCTGACTTTAATCTCAGAATTCTGACTTTAATCTTAGAACTCTGACTTTAATCTCAGAACTCTGACTTTAATCTCAGAACTCTGACTTTAATCTCAGAACTTTGACTTTAATCTCAGAACTCTGACTTTAATCTCAGAATTCTGACTCTAATCTCAGAATTCTGACTTTAATCTCAGAATTCTGACTTTAATCTTAGAACTCTGACTTTAATCTCAGAACTCTGACTTTAATCTCAGAACTCTGACTTTAATCTCAGAACATTGACTTTAATCTCAGAACTCTGACTTTAATCTCAGAATTCTGACTCTAATCTCAGAATTCTGACTTTAATCTCAGAATTCTGACTTTAATCTCAGAACTCTGACTTTAATCTCAGAATTCTGACTCTAATCTCAGAATTCTGACTTTAATCTCAGAATTTTGACTTTAATCTCAGAATTTTGACTTTAATCTCAGAATTCTGACTTTAATCTCAGAATTCTGACTTTAATCTCAGAACTCTGACTTTAATCTCAGAATTCTGACTCTAATCTCAGAATTCTGACTTTAATCTCAGAACTTTGACTTTAATCTCAGAACTTTGACTTTAATCTCAGAACTCGGACTTTAATCTCAGAATTCTGACTCTAATCTCAGAATTCTGACTTTAATCTCAGAACTCTGACTCTAATCTCAGAACTCTGACTCTAATCTCAGAATTCTGACTCTAATCTCAGAATTCTGACTCTAATCTCAGAATTCTGACTCTAATCTCAGAATTCTGACTCTAATCTCAGAATTCTGACTCTAATCTCAGAACTCTCACTTTAATCTCAGAACTCTCACTTTAATCTCAGAACTCTCACTTTAATCTCAGAACTCTGACTTTAATCTCAGAATTCTGACTTTAATCTCAGAACTCTGACTCTAATCTCAGAACTCTGACTTTAATCTCAGAACTCTGACTTTAATCTCAGAACTCTGACTTTAATCTCAGAACTCTGACTTTAATCTCAGAATTCTGACTCTAATCTCAGAATTCTGACTCTAATCTCAGAATTCTGACTCTAATCTCAGAATTCTGACTCTAATCTCAGAATTCTGACTCTAATCTCAGAATTCTGACTCTAATCTCAGAATTCTGACTCTAATCTCAGAATTCTGACTCTAATCTCAGAATTCTGACTTTAATCTCAGACTTTAATCTCAGAATTTTGACTCTCATCTCAGAATTTTGACTCTCATCTCAGAATTCTGACTCTCATCTCAGAATTCTGACTCTTATCTCAGAATTCTGACTCTAATCTCAGAACTCTGACTTTAATCTCAGAACTCTGACTCTAATCTCAGAACTCTGACTCTAATCTCAGAACTCTGACTTTAATCTCAGAACTCTGACTCTAATCTCAGAACTCTGACTCTAATCTCAGAACTCTGACTCTAATCTCAGAACTCTGACTCTAATCTCAGAATTCTGACTTTAATCTCAGAATTCTGACTTTAATCTCAGAACTCTGACTCTAATCTCAGAACTCTGACTTTAATCTCAGAACTCTGACTCTAATCTCAGAATTCTGACTTTAATCTCAGAATTCTGACTTTAATCTCAGAACTCTGACTCTAATCTCAGAATTCTGACTTTAATCTCAGAATTCTGACTTTAATCTCAGAATTCTGACTTTAATCTCAGAACTCTGACTCTAATCTCAGAATTCTGACTCTAATCTCAGAACTCTCACTCTAATCTCAGAATTCTGACTTTAATCTCAGAATTCTGACTTTAATCTCAGAATTCTGACTCTAATCTCAGAACTCTGACTTTAATCTCAGAACTTTGACTTTAATCTCAGAATTCTGACTTTAATCTCAGAACTCTGACTTTAATATCAGAACTCTGACTTTAATCTCAGAATTCTGACTTTAATCTTAGAACTCTGACTTTAATCTCAGAACTCTGACTTTAATCTCAGAACTCTGACTTTAATCTCAGAACTTTGACTTTAATCTCAGAACTCTGACTTTAATCTCAGAACTTTGACTTTAATCTCAGAATTCTGACTTTAATCTCAGAATTCTGACTTTAATCTCAGAATTCTGACTTTAATCTCAGAACTCTGACTCTAATCTCAGAACTCTGACTTTAATCTCAGAACTCTGACTCTAATCTCAGAATTCTGACTCTAATCTCAGAATTCTGACTCTAATCTCAGAATTCTGACTCTAATCTCAGAATTCTGACTAATCTCAGAATTCTGACTCTAATCTCAGAATTCTGACTCTAATCTCAGAATTCTGACTCTAATCTCAGAATTCTGACTCTAATCTCAGAATTCTGACTTTAATCTCAGAATTCTGACTCTAATCTCAGAATTCTGACTTTAATCTCAGAACTCTGACTTTAATCTCAGAACTCTGACTCTAATCTCAGAACTCTGACTTTAATCTCAGAACTCTGACTCTAATCTCAGAATTCTGACTCTAATCTCAGAATTCTGACTTTAATCTCAGAACTCTGACTCTAATCTCAGAACTCTGACTCTAATCTCAGAATTCTGACTCTAATCTCAGAACTCTGACTCTAATCTCAGAACTCTGACTTTAATCTCAGAATTCTGACTCTAATCTCAGAATTCTGACTCTAATCTCAGAATTCTGACTCTAATCTCAGAATTCTGACTCTAATCTCAGAATTCTGACTCTAATCTCAGAATTCTGACTTTAATCTCAGACTTTAATCTCAGAATTCTGACTTTAATCTCAGAATTTAGAATTTTGACTTTAATCTCAGAATTCTGACTCTCATCTCAGAATTTTGACTCTAATCTCAGAACTCTGACTTTAATCTCAGAACTCTGACTCTAATCTCAGAACTCTGACTTTAATCTCAGAACTCTGACTCTAATCTCAGAACTCTGACTCTAATCTCAGAATTCTGACTCTAATCTCAGAATTCTGACTTTAATCTCAGAACTCTGACTTTAATCTCAGAACTCTGACTCTAATCTCAGAACTCTGACTTTAATCTCAGAACTCTGACTCTAATCTCAGAATTCTGACTCTAATCTCAGAATTCTGACTTTAATCTCAGAACTCTGACTTTAATCTCAGAACTCTGACTTTAATCTCAGAACTCTGACTTTAATCTCAGAACTCTGACTTTAATCTCAGAACTCTGACTTTAATCTCAGAACTCTGACTTTAATCTCAGAATTCTGACTCTAATCTCAGAATTCTGACTCTAATCTCAGAATTCTGACTCTAATCTCAGAATTCTGACTCTAATCTCAGAATTCTGACTCTAATCTCAGAATTCTGACTCTAATCTCAGAATTCTGACTCTAATCTCAGAATTCTGACTTTAATCTCAGACTTTAATCTCAGAATTTTGACTCTCATCTCAGAATTTTGACTCTCATCTCAGAATTCTGACTCTCATCTCAGAATTCTGACTTTAATCTCAGAACTCTGACTTTAATCTCAGAACTCTGACTTTAATCTCAGAACTCTGACTTTAATCTCAGAATTCTGACTTTAATCTCAGAACTCTGACTTTAATCTCAGAATTCTGACTCTAATCTCAGAATTCTGACTTTAATCTCAGAATTTTGACTTTAATCTCAGAACTCTGACTCTAATCTCAGAATTCTGACTTTAATCTCAGAATTCTGACTTTAATCTCAGAACTCTGACTTTAATCTCAGAACTCTGACTTTAATCTCAGAACTCTGACTTTAATCTCAGAACTCGGACTTTAATCTCAGAATTCTGACTCTAATCTCAGAACTCTGACTTTAATCTCAGAACTTTGACTTTAATCTCAGAATTCTGACTTTAATCTCAGAACTTTGACTTTAATCTCAGAATTCTGACTTTAATCTCAGAATTCTGACTTTAATCTCAGAATTCTCACTTTAATCTCTGAACTCTGACTTTAATCTCAGAATTCTGACTTTAATCTCAGAATTTTGACTTTAATCTCAGAATTTTGACTTTAATCTCAGAATTCTGACTTTAATCTCAGAACTCTGACTTTAATCTCAGAATTCTGACTCTAATCTCAGAATTCTGACTTTAATCTCAGAACTTTGACTTTAATCTCAGAACTCGGACTTTAATCTCAGAATTCTGACTCTAATCTCAGAATTCTGACTTTAATATCAGAACTCTGACTTTAATCTCAGAATTCTGACTTTAATCTCAGAACTCTGACTTTAATCTCAGAACTCTGACTTTAATCTCAGAACTCTGACTTTAATCTCAGAACTCTGACTTTAATCTCAGAACTCTGACTTTAATCTCAGAACTCTGACTTTAATCTCAGAATTCTGACTCTAATCTCAGAATTCTGACTCTAATCTCAGAATTCTGACTAATCTCAGAATTCTGACTCTAATCTCAGAATTCTGACTCTAATCTCAGAATTCTGACTCTAATCTCAGAACTCTGACTCTAATCTCAGAATTCTGACTCTAATCTCAGAATTCTGACTTTAATCTCAGAACTCTGACTTTAATCTCAGAACTCTGACTCTAATCTCAGAACTCTGACTCTAATCTCAGAACTCTGACTTTAATCTCAGAACTCTGACTCTAATCTCAGAATTCTGACTCTAATCTCAGAATTCTGACTTTAATCTCAGAATTCTGACTTTAATCTCAGAACTCTGACTCTAATCTCAGAACTCTGACTCTAATCTCAGAATTCTGACTCTAATCTCAGAATTCTGACTCTAATCTCAGAATTCTGACTCTAATCTCAGAATTCTGACTCTAATCTCAGAATTCTGACTCTAATCTCAGAACTCTCACTTTAATCTCAGAATTCTGACAGCTAACTAACATGTTAGCATCAAGCCATAGCCATGTCTGTTTTAGAGACTAGCTCTCTTGTTGTAATGACCTTCTGCTCCTCCATTAATAAGGGGACCCCTCAGGCACGTAAAAAGTTGCCTAATTCCATCATTTTCCCCCAATGTGTCCCTGGCCGCCTCAATCAACTCACATCTTTGTCAGTGAAGCTGAGTGCTCCACATCTCTACCTTCATGGAGCCCATCGACATTAAGATCCACAATTCTGAGAATAACCTCAGAATTCTCAGATTAAAGTCAGAATTCTGACTTTTTTTTTTTCAGTGGCCCTATTCCTCTTCCGTGGAAAATCTTAAATTCTCGACTTTGAGGTTGTAAAGCGCTTCTCGAATCCAGCGGGCATGTGAAGGGGGTTGAGAATCTTTCCAGTTAAGATCAACCTACGAGCTAGAAGCGTGCTAAATGCTATAGCCCGCTTCATTCCTTTAGGTCAGTTAGAGGTTTAGAAGTAGGGGGGATGCCAAAGATTGCAGAGAACCAGAGAACCAAATGCTTCAGACAGTGATTTAAAATCCCAGTCCAGAATAGTTTCAACCTGACCAAAACATTTGCATCTGCCACAGGCATCACTTACAGAGGAATACATTTTCGCTAGTCGTGAATTGGTATAATGAGCCCTGTGAAAGACTTTGCTTTGAATTAGTCTACGGCGGGCACAGATGGAAGAAGAATAAATTAAAGCCAGTGCAGATGTGCATCAAAACTGCTTTTATATGAACTGTGTTTGTTCTCTTCATCAGGCCTGACATGAGAAGTTTCTCTGGATTTGATCAAACTTTTAAGCCCCTCGGTATAAAATTATTAGTTTTTTGGAATATATAAGAATTATGCTCTAATTTGTAGATGCTGATCTGTCGTTACCATATTTGAATTTGACAAAACAGATCTTAACATTCGTTTCCTGTTTGGTGGGATTGCTCCAGTGGATCCGGACCCAGCGGCCTGCAGGTAGAGGCGTCATCCACAGAACGGCTGCAGGGATCCAGCAAATGAAGACATTTACTTTTATAGTCTGACTTCAATCTCTCTAATCCTGTCATCACAGCAATAGCCTATTAAAGGCCTTTCTGTCAAACGTAGAACTATAGATATAGAACAAAATGAAGTTAATGTTTTAGGAAAGAGTAAATAATTTATGTAGATGATTAAATAAAATTAACGGTATTTAATCTGGGCTGAATTAAAAACACACACAGAGAGGAAACTCCGGTTTCTGATCTGTGTGATGTTGACTAAACAGCCGGGTCTGCACAGAATCAATCACCATGGCAACCAACATTTCTCTGAAATAGTCCAGGCTTAAATCAGGATATTTGGACAAATGAGTTAATCTCTCATCCTGGTTTTGTTAAACAGGCGTCAGATCAACCTGGTTTCTGCCTGTTTTAGTTCATCTTCTTGTTTCTGAAGCAGAAATCTAAATAAATAAAGATTTTATTCATTTATTCGTAGTGATGTTAAAGAGGCATCTGGAAGCTGCTCTGATTCTGTCTCAATACTGACACCTGCTGGACATTTAAAGACACTACAGGCGGCGGATTGGACTGATTGATCTGATGACCTAAAACTATAATATAATTTAAGTTATTAAAGGTTATATTACATTATTTCATATCTATGTTTAAATTGAAATTATCTTTGATATTTTTAGATGCAGATAAATTAAAAATATAACGTGAACATTTAGGTTAAAATTTAATGAGGATGCTTGTGGATTAAGATTTTAAATCCTATTTCTAAAAATCAGTTCAGTAAATAAACTAAGAGTCAATTTGAAATGAACTTTAATTCAGATAATCTGATTGATAACTGAGAGGAAAAGGATGAAACTAAGAGGAAATAAAAACGGCTGAAATGTTCCTTTTCCTTTTAGGCTCCAAATTTCTTAATAATTTTAACGATAAACTGCAAAAGATGACTTTTTTTTTTTTCAGCAGATGCATCAAGTTGACAGAAACAGCTCCTGTATCGGTCACATGACTTCCTGCGCTCCGATAGCGTTTTTCTCTACGGTTTCACGCAGCGACGCATCGCTGCTAATGGATCCATCACAGAACCTCCTCTGAAGGTTCTGATGATGCTGATCCAAACCTCACATCTCAGCGGTTCTGTTTGATGAAATCACCAAAGACTCGACGCTTTAGGAACTTTTTATTGAACATAAAAATATCCCAACCAGAACCATCCAGAAGGTTCTGTTCAGTCCAACGTTATTTAGATCCCATCACCAGAGTCCAGAATGAGTCCGTCTCTCCAGAACCCAGCAGAGGTTCTGTCCTCACTGTCCCTCCTCCTGTTCATCAGGCTTCAGTTCTGCCGCTGGATCCGACTGACCGGATTCTGCTGCTCCGAGCGGCGGGTCAAAGGTCAGCGGGTCCAGCTCCGCGGTGGCGCCGACCTCCGGCATCAGCGGTTCCGGCTCCTTCTGAGGGAGAATGAATTCCAGCGGCTGCAGAACCGCTGAGACATCTATGGTGCCCAGGCCCCCGTAGCGGGTCAGCTGAGAGGCAGGAACGCCTGCAGAAACAAGCGGCAGGTTTCAGAACCACCGGGTAAGAACCCGGGTTCTACAGAACCTAAACCGTCTGGAGAGGTTTGTAAAACCAGTAGAGCTGAAACAGTTAATCAATTAATGAAATAATCAAATAATTCAGTAATCGATTAATCGTTAACTGGAGGATAGAGATGATAAAACACGCCTTTAGCTGACAGAACGACCCACAACCAAGATAGAGAAAAAATATATAAATATTTAGCATTTAAGATAAAATAATAATAATACATTTTATTTGTATTGCACTTTACATTTAAAAAAAATCTCAAAGTGCAAAAGAACCTTTTATTCTGTCAGTCTGCTCTATCCAGAACCGACAAGTGGAAACGTTTTAGTTTCTCCTGCTTTCATTCTGTATAAAAACTTCTTTAAGGAACCTTTGCGATCCCATTATTAATCAATTAATCTCGTTCTACTCTATGAGCATCTCCTGTCTGGTTCCTTACCGGCTGGTTTCGTTTGTCTGACCGCCATTGTGGAAAACGAGCAGCTAGCAGAGCGAGGTGAGACCCTTCCTCCAGCCTAAAGGTCTGGTTCTCCTCCTGCGGCAGTTGAAGCGTGGTCTGCGCTACGTTATTCCACGCCACAACGCCAGAGGGCCAATCAGGAACCAGCTGTGGGTCTAGATGCGGCCGAGGCGGCGAGGAAGTGGGGGTGAGTTTATGAGACGACGGGGGGACATGAGGGCCAAAAAGAGCGGAGATCCAGGTGGGAAAAGGGTCCCAGCGTTCTCACCTCGCTCTGCTAGCTGCTCCATCTTCACCAGTCGTTTTCCACAATGGCGGTAAGACAAACAAAACCAGCCGGTAAGGAACCAAGCAGGAAATACGCATAGAGTAGAGCGGATGTGGATTTGACCAATCAGAGGCCTCCTGTCTGCGCTCACCTACAGTCAGGGAGAGGAGCAGCAGAGTGTCTGCGGAAGGGGGCGGGGCTTATCTGCATTAACTGCGACACACGCAGACCACCTGGTTTCTGAGCATAAACCAGCCTTTATGAGACGTCTGCTGATTCATTAACATTTTTACTAGGGATGCACGATATAATCGGCCCCCTATCGGTATCGGCCTTAAAACTGAATATCGGACATCGGCCCCCCCACCGATATTTAACCCGATATTTGATCAGTTTCTGAGTTTCTAAAGTCTAAAAAAAAAAAAAATATTACTTCTTCTTCTTCCTCAAAAACTTATTTTTTACAGACTTAAAAACTTCTAAAGACGAGGGAAAAAATATTGATCCATTAAAATATCCCAATATCTTCATATGCTGATATATTGCCATTTAAAAACACCATATCAATCTCTTTCTACTAATGAAATATTGCTATATGTCATCGTTATGCTACGAAATCCCCCGAAAATTCACCAAATGTTGCCATATTTTTATATGTTGATATATTGACGCGGTATCGATCTATTTTACTAACGAAATCTCACAAGAATTTGCAAAATATCACGATAGTTTGTCACAGAACGATGAAATTTCACCAGATTTTGAAAGTAAAATAGATCGATACCGCGTTTTTAAAAATCTATTTGATATCAGCATATGAAAATATATTTGAGTTTATTATTTTTCAAAGTGTCAGAAATGGATAACAAAACTGCTATTTTCAATGACTACTTATTTTTGTCCAGCTTTAACATCGGTATCGATATCGGTTATCGGCTACATGAGTTTTAAAATATCGGCATTTCGGATATCGGCCAAAATCCCGATATCGTGCATCCCTAATTTTTACAGCAGCTCCAAAGTTTGCAGGAATTCCCATAAACTTTAACGCAGCTGTGCTTCATCACAGCGACACATCAACGCTGTACCTGAGGCCCCCTGGTTCTGATTCTGCTACAGTCTGGACCTGGTTCCTCCTCCAGGAGGTCCAACAGTCATCCAGCCCAGACTGGAGTCAGTGTAGATCTGTTATTATGGGATGTTTGCGCATCTCTGAGGTAAAATCAATGGATTCCAAAGGATGCTCAGCAGCTAAAGTGAAAAGAAAGCGGACTGGAAACCAGTGTTTCCAGTGGGGTCCTCACCCAGAACCAGAGCCAGCTGAGCTGGAGGGAACAGAACCTGCAGGCAGCGGTTCAGGAAGGGCAGCAGGTCCTCGGCGTAAGACGAGCAGAACTGGACGAAGAGCTCCTTCTCTCTGCTGCTGAAGGCCGACTGCTCGGCCCGATGGAACGCCAGAACATGGCGGGTCACCTGGAGGGGAACGCACAACATGCTTTAGGTTCCTACCCAGAATCCACTCTGTTCCAGTTTAAAACACCGACATCTAACTGGTGGAGCAGAGCTGAAGATGAAACGTGGAGCAGAGTCTGGAATCGTTCCTGGACGTTAATATGTTTTCTCTTTATCTATTTGTGAGATAAAATGTTTTCATTTTTCCTTTCCTCTGCATAAAAAGGGCCGATTGTTTAGAAGTCTGGTTCCAGTCTGTATGATGGAGTTTAGTTACGGAGTTTAGATTGGGGAAAACAGGAAGCAGTTTCCTCGCTGCTCCAGATATCAGGGAACCATGAGAGATAAGATGAGTTCAATCAGCCTCCTTCACGCCGTGAGCAGCAGACCTGCTCTGAGCCTTAATCCGATTAAAATGAACGTCCTCGATGAATTAAAGCGGATTATCTTGGGGATAACCAAATGTTTGTATGTGAGAAAGTTCTTTATGTAGAGATGGGATAGTTCCTAGGGAGAGTGTATGAGTTGGGAGGTGCTGTATAAAAGTACTGAGCGTTTCCCAGTCAGAGCTCCGTCTCTCCATTTAAACCTCTGCTTCCTCCTAAACTCCACAAACTTAAATTACTACACAGAGCTCACCTGTCCCCAAAACGGAGGTCTAAGTTTAAACTAGCCTCCTGTTCACTGTTTGAATGCAAACTACATGAAGGCAGCCTCCCACACCGTCTCTGGTCATGTTCCAGTTATACTGGGAATCTATTGAGGTGGAGACGAGGAAATGATTAACACCTATAATGATCATCTCCTTGTGACGGTCACATGGTCAGTAACTTCACACACAACCACTTTTTCATAAGTTTTAATACACACTAGCATAAATATATTGGTTTGTTTATTTTGACGATATTGAAAACATTAGTTCCAATTGCAGCGCGCACATTCGGTTCACTTTTGTATATTTAATTTTGTCAAATGCTTAATATATTTTCTGCTTTCTTTTCTGGTGTTGTGGGGGTGCCGTCAACTGGGAGAATGTGGCTGACTAATGATGGGCTGATTGGGTCGTACCATCTGGAGTTCCACTATCGGGGAGACCATGGACTCCACATTTTAAATATGTTTCTTCTTACTTTTGTGATTTGCTCATTTTGTTAATTTGTTTAATGATTGTCATTTAAGTTTAATCCTTAAGCTAACTGTTTATTTATTCTTTGTTAAATTGGTGTAGATGTTCTCCCTCCCTCTTCCTCAGTGTGTCAGTATTTAAGTCTCCTTTGTTTGCTGTGTGTTTTGCTCAGTTTTTGTTTGTTCAGTTAGTTTGAGGTTTGATATTTTTTGCCCTTAGTTAGTCTCTTCATTTGACCTCTTTTAAGGGCCCTAAAATCTTTGTTTGGATTATTGTTACTTTGGGAAAATAAAACCCAGTTTTCTTGACAATCACCACTGTGTCCTCATGCTTGGCTGGCTCCGTCCCTCACACTCCTCTCCTCGGTCGGTCAAATAAACACCCAAAATCAAAACAACAGCAAACTGTATAACGTCCTAATTTTCTGAAGAATATTTTGTTAAAATGGATTCCTAATAAATCTATTTTTTTGGTGGAAAAAGCTTCTTTTGGAATAAATTCCTCTCTGGAACAGAAACAAGGAGAAAAGTTGACAGAAAGAGGAAATAAAAGGGAGATAAGAATAAAACATCTCCAGTCTGCTTCATCAGCTTCTGTTCTGTTCTGTTGTTGTTATTAAACAAAAATTAATAAACATATCTATAAAAAAAAAATGTTTTATCTTTTAAAGATTTTCTTTATCAAGTTTCTGTTTTTCAGATCAGGTTTTTCTAAATTGTAACATTTACATTATTTACATGGATGTAACTTTAATAGCTTTACTAACTGGAGTTAATGGTTTATTTGATTTAAATCTATTCTCTCTGACTAATTAATGACTTCTTTCACTGTTGTAATGTTACTGCCGTCCACTGGAGGGCGCCAACGTTCACTCCCAAATGAAGCCTCACTGAAACTGACCCAACCAACACCGACGCAAATGTTTGGAACATGATAGAAAAAGACCTGCTAGATGTTATTACGGTAAAAGGCGACGCTTTAGTGATTTGATGCGTTTCATGGAGTCAAATTTTAAAATGAGAGAACTGCCTGTTTAAAAAAGCGGCTAACATCAAAGTCTCTCTCAGCGCTTGATGTTGGATTAGACTAAAGCATGAAAGTCGTCCAGTTCAGTGAAACAAAGCAGATCGTCTTTAGAGAACATCGGAGCATGAAACCCTGTCAACCGAGGATAGTTTTATATCTTTGTACGTCGCAAAAAATAAACGTTTTCCATGTTTTGTACATTTTTTTTCTATTAATTTTCCAAATAACTTCCTGTTTTTTGGTTTATTCGGTCAGTATTTATCACAGCTGGAACAAAAATGAGTTAAAATATAGTGATGTACTTTAGAGAGGCCCGATATAATCGGCCCCCTATCGGTATCGGCCTTAAAACTGAATATCGGACATCGGCCACCCCACCGATATTTAACCCGATATTTGATCAGCTTCTGAGTTTCTAAAGTCTAAAAAAAAATAATAATAATACTACTTCTTCTTCCTCAAAAACTTCTTTTTTACAGACTTAAAAACTTCTAAAGACGAGGGAAAAAATATTGATCCATTAAAATATACCAATATCTTCATATGCTGATATATTGCCATTTAAAAACACCATATCAATCTCTTTTACTAATGAAATATTGCTATATGTCATCGTTATGCTACGAAATCCCCCGAAAATTCACCAAATGTTGCCATATTTTTATATGTTGATATATTGACGCGGTATCGATCTATTTTACTAAAAAAATCTCACAAGAATTTGCAAAATATCACGAGAGTTTGTAACAGAACCATGAAATTTCACCAGATTTTGAAAGTAAAATAGATCGATACCGCGTTTTTAAAAATCTATTTGATATCAGCATATGAAAATATATTTGAGTTTATTATTTTTCAAAGTGTCAGAAATGGATAACAAAACTGCTATTTTCAATGACTACTTATTTTTGTCCAGCTTTAACATCGGTATCGATATCGGTTATCGGCTACATGAGTTTTAAAATATCGGCATATCGGATATCGGCCAAAATCCCAATATCGCGCATCCCTAGTTTACTTTTTAACAAAAAAAAAAAATCCTTTCGATGCGAGATAAATGTCCAGTTTTTAATGTCAATTCATTTTAAGCTTTTTGGAAACATCTGAAAATGTGCTTAATGCAGACGAAGCGATCAGAGCGAATCAGAGTTAAATTCGATTCCGTGAATCTCAGCCGGTCAGATTTATTTTGCTCACATTCACTTCCTCTGATTCTCCGTTCGTTTCGGACTCTTTCCGTTTTATCGGCTTCCTTCTTCCAGGTTCTTTTCGGTGGAGCTGCAGCTCCGTATCCGCCCACCGCCGTCACGCTGCATCGAATGATCCGCAATCACGCCGACGCTACGAACACAAACCCTGAAAACTGCGACCCTGGAGCTCCGCCTACATTCTGACATCATATCTGCTCTTCGTGACCCTGACATGTTTTTTATGGTTCTATTTTCCTTTGCTTCTTTTCCCAGAAATTAGAATCAAACCTGAAAACAATCATTTTACCAAAGCCGCATTTTAAAGATTTTTATAGATCTGAGGAAGCCGGAGATCGGGGTGCGACTCACCGCCTGCAGGCCGCCCTCCAGACTGCGGCTGACGTCCTGCGCCAGCCCCAGGGGGCAGCAGAGGCGCAGGTCGTTGAAGGCACTCAGGATGTTGTTGAGGAAGCAGGCCAGTGGCTGGAAGTCCAACAGAGCCATGGGGGGCTGCAGGGTGCCGGGCTGCACGCTGGGGGCCACGGGGGGGACGGCGCCCCCGAGCGCAGAGGGGAGGGCGATGAGCGTATACATGTTCATGTCCTCCTGGAACTTCTCCACTGACTCCTGCACCGCCCCCTGGAACGTCTCCAGCGCCACCCGCTGGAACAGCGGCGCCAGCTGCCCGCGGAAGTCGGCCCCCACCCTGCTGAAGGACAGACCGAAGTACATGCACTGCCCCAGCAGGGAGTCCAGCCGGCCCCCCACGCCGCGCTGCAGGTCCCTCTCCAGCGTCTCCAGGAACTCCGCCACCTTCTGCACCACCCAGCCGTGGAAAATGGCGCCCTCGCTGAGGGCCGCCTGGCCCCCCGCCGGGGGCAGCAGAGGGTCCTCGTCAGAGAAGATGGCGCGGTACTGAGTGATGATGTCGAACAGGTGGACCCTGCAGGCCTCGATGGTCTTGGTGATGTGGAAGTACGGGTCCTCCTCGGGAACGGCGGCCAACATGGAGCTCAGCCAGCTGCCTCTGGCCTGCAGGAACTTCACCCGAAGCTCCGCCTCCGTGAACACGTCCATCCTCCGCAGGTAGCCAATCACACGCAGGCACACGGGCAGCTGGGAGTTGGAGCGCAGCTGCTGCAGCAGCTGGTTGAGCATCAGCTGCGCCGACTGACGCACCTCCCGTACGATGCCCTGCAGGAGCCACAGCAGGGAGGAGTTTACCGCCTCCGCTCCTAATCCAGATTAGGATTAACCAGCCGCTCTACGGGACGCCTCAGCTCACCTGGATGACGGGCAGCGCGGCGTGCTTCTTCTCCAGCCTCTTGACGTACGCCGCCAGCTCCAGCGCCTCCTCGTAGTAGCCGTTCCGCACGCAGGTGTCCATGAGCTGAGGGATCTCCAGGATCTCCAGGATCTCGGTGTGGCGGTTCAGCGTCAGGCTGTTCATCCGCCGGCTGACGGCGATCTCCTCCGCCTCCTTCATGAAGGCCCTAAACCCACAAACACCTTTAGAGACGCCGCAGCCGGATCAGACCGGTTTGATCCAGACTTTAAACTGAAAGATCCTAAAACATTGTTAGTTTTAATCATGTTCATCTATTTATAGAAATGGCTAAAACACGGTCACATGGTGTTTCATCCACACGCCTTTCAGACGGGGCTTTAAAATTTAGAAAACTTGTTTCAGAATTAGTTTTTCACAACTAAGTTTTGTTTTATAGCAGAGAAAACAAATAAAATGAGATTTAAAATTCCACCTGAAATGTGTGACTCTGCAGGAGGAATGCAACACACTTCAAAAAATCTAAACCTAGATAAGTCATTTTTTCCTTAAAATAAGTGCATTTGTTCTTGGATTGAGGAGGTAAAAGAGACATTTTGTCAATGGAACAAGATAATTTACATTTAAAATAAGAAAACACATTTACATTGTCTTATTTCAAGTGCATTTTATCTTATTTTAAGAGTAAAATTACTCATTCCATCGGCAAACTATCTCATTTACCTGCTGAAATTAAGGGTGAATACACTTAATTTAAGACATTTTTACTTATTTCTAGATCGTTTTTGCAGTGCAGCAGGTATTCATGTTTAGCCCCGCCCCCTAATGGGTGCCATCATTGGAAACTAGAGCCTCCGACCTTTTCAAGGAGGGGTCAGAGGTCATTGTGTGACCCTTTCAGGAGATGTAACCGTCATGCGTTACATAAGCTGCTCTTATTCTTATTTTCTATCCAGTTTGGTGATTTTATTGGTAAATTTTAATGAAATAACGACTAAATCTCAGGAGCAAAAGCTTTGCTTTATGCAGAAGGTCTCCAATAACTAAAATCAGCATATTTATCTGACCAGATTCCCTTTGATGAGCGAAAAAATAAATTTTTGCATGGTTGGAATTTCGCCAAAATCCCATTTCCACCAATCACACTTCCCACTAAAACCTCTGTGGAACAAATATTCTTCATCTTATTCAGTCCAGATTAGCTTGAGTTCTAGTCTAGATGTGGATCTATAAAGTCTGAGGTTCATCCAGAGTTTAAAACGGGTTTTCATGGTATTTTGCAATTTTTATCTTGGAAAAAAAATTGTGGCGAGGCGAAATATTTTAGACTTTTTCTGTTTAATCTCCTATAAATCAGACATGCTGACATTTAAAATAGTGGTTCCACCTTAAAAATCTTCCTCAATGCCTTTATTTCACACAAATACAAACTATTTTATTTCCGATTTACAGTTTGGGAGCTGAACTTGCTTTAATTCACATCTGGAATTTCAGGCAGAATTTGCTCCTAAGACTCTCGGTGCTTAAAGGGTTAAATAATCTTCAAATCATTTAGAAGTCGATTAATTGTTAACTGGAGCTTAGAGACTTTAAAACATGCCTTTAGCTGACAGAGCGACCTTAGAGCAGTAATTATACCAAATTTGTAAAACAAAATATGTGAAGTTTTTTTATTTAGGATAAAAATATTTTTCTTCTCTCATATTTTCTATCCAGAACGTCTGAAGTGGAAAAGCGGCTTTCACGGTATTTTGCAGTTTTTATTTTGGAAAAAATGTGGCGAGGCAAAATATTTAGACTTTTTCTGTTTAATCTCCTATAAATCAGACATGCTGACATTTAAAATAGTGTTTGCACCTTAAAAATCTTCCTCAGTGCCTTTATGTCATAAAAATATAAATAATTTTATTTCCAATTTATAGTTTAGAGCTGAACTTGCTTTAATTCACATCTATAATTTCAGGCAGAATTCACTCCTGACACTCTGGGCTTAAAGGGTTGTTTAAGATTATTTCTATTGGAAGCGAAACATCGACCTGCGGAACAATGCAGAGGATTCTGACCCGGTTCTGATCCAGTCGGGTCTGGTTCTGGTTCCAGTACCTTCAGATGGGTCAGAACCAGGTCAGTGTTCCTGGTTAACGTTGGACTGAGGTTGGTTGACTGTCAGTACTGGACTGGATCTGGGAATATTTTTTATTTTTGGACTTTATGGTGTAAAGGTTCTAAGGGATTTAGGGTTCAAGGGTCCAAAACTACGGAGAGTTAAAGGGGACAAAATGAATAAATCAATTAATTGGTGCCATTAAAAGATTCAAACCAGCCAGAGTTTGATGAGTCAAGTTTAACGTTTTAAACATTTTAATGAAGAATTCGCTGCTGAAACGTCATGAAATAATTAAAATAAAATAATGAAAAGGACCTTTTAAATGATGGCATCATTTAAAAGGTATATTAAATTACTAAAAGGCACATTTCATAATTTAATCTTAGATTTAATGTTTTTGGGGAAATTTGCAGCAGTTTTTACTTTTCATTAAAACAACTTGTTTCAGAATTAGAGCTGAAACAATCAGATGAATTGATTATTCAGATGATTTAGTAATAATTTAATCGTTAACTGAGACTAAAACATATCTTTAGCTGAAAGAGAAGCCCGCTTAGAAAAATTATTATATTTGCTGGCAGATTTTTCATTGAAAACAAACAATAAAGATATTTTATCATTATCTCCCTTTTATCTCCTCTTTCTTTCATCTTTTCTCCTTTTTTCTGTTTTTTCTTTCCTGTTCTCCTTACATTGCAGCGTCCATATAATCTGTAAAACTCACTGCATTATTATAATAAATCTATTTATATGCATAAATCCAGACAATTATTGTTATTGCCACATCGCCAGACAGGACACTGTTAAAAAAATAAAATAAAACATTAACAATGGATCGATCAATTAGCAAGATAATCATTAGTTGCAGCAGAATGAAAACATTTCAACATATTAAACTCATATCTGCCATCTAAACATTCAATCACTTCCTATAGTGAAGGCAGGTCTAGTAATGTGGTTAAAGTCAATAAAACTCATTTCTCATCATATTTTTCTAATTATTAGCCAATTTAACTTTAACTGAGTAATGTGATTATATTATATTACCATCACATTTAAAGATGCATAAATAGATTTTTTAAATCTCAGGTTTTACATGATAATCCTGTCTGCTGCAAAACAGAGAAGAATTTATTGGCTTTACTTTTATCACATCTTCACCATGTGAGGAAGTTTATAATAACTAGAAAAAGCTGTTTCGGAGAAACATCAAAGTGGGAATGCTTTTGCTGAATGAAAAAAGCTGAAATTACCTGAAGAACATATGAAAATGTGATAGGAAGTCATCAGAAACTTCAAACTGCAGAAAACAATTGAATCATCTGAAGATTTTGTAGGGTAGAATCATTTGGCAGTAAAATGGCAGAAACAAACTCATCTTAAAAGCTGCACAGCCAAACCATACATGATATCAAAAAATGTCTTGAATGTGGGCACTAGAAGGGTCTTAATATAATGTCTCCCAAGTTTCTAGAAAAATGTATAAAGAAATTTTGAAGTGGGGTTTACGTACTTTCCAGAAACATGTCAGGCGTGTTATTAATTAGCAGCAAACAGAAAAGCTTAATTCCTGTCCAGAAACAGAGCAGAATGAAGCCAAAGTTCACAACATAGGCTGAAAAGTATGAAATTAGCTGAAGTAGAAAAGAAATTACAAAGAAAAACTTTAATCTTATCTGGTTGAAGAAAAAATTAGTAGCTTAAGGATGGGAAGTAAAATGTTGAGGACGATGGTATTGAATAAGTATTAACATTTTGAAATCATATGTGGAAATGTCAAGACTTGGCAAAACAATTCGAAAATTATTTAAAATGTGTCAGTTGATCAGCATAAAGAAAACAGTGTCATCCTTAGAGGATTGAAAATCTACAAACCTATGTGCAAGACTGACCATGAGAAGCAGAGGAAGGACAGAGAGAGAAGCTTATAGAAAGAGAGCTAATACCACTTAAGGAGCTGAATTTATAAAAAAAAAAACTAACCTGCATGATACGAGCCGCTGTGGTGATGAAAGCACAGTTGGCAGGCTTAGGCTGCAAGTTACAAGGTTAGCAGATGCTTTATTACAGTGTAAATCTTAGAACCTGATTAAGAAATATGCACTGAGGTGTGTGGTCAACAGGCCTTGGTAGTGTAATTTGAAGAAATTGGTTGACTTTGGGTCATAGCTACAAGCCCTACGGCACAATGAATGAGTGTGCGTAAGGAAGAGGCTTTTATTTTGTAGGTTCCCTTTAGTCTTATTTTGAAAGTCTATCATGGATGTGTGTCAAGGGGAGGGTCATGCCCAGCAGTGATATAGAATCCATTTCCAAATATGAAATCACTGGTTTTCCATGTTATTGGGTGAATAGATGCTGTATTAGAGTGTAAATGGGAGACTTTTATTGTGAAATTTGCTCTGGGGTATGTTTTGAAAAGGTCCCTAGAGTCTAATAGAAACAAGCTGGTAGAGTTTGGGTCATAATGCTGAGCCATTTGCATCAATTAATAGGCGAGTATAATATAGAGGCTTTTATTGTGTAGGGTCACTGTAGTCTTATTTTGAAAGTCTAGCAGGGTTGTGTGTTGAGAAAAGGGTCAGACCCAGCAGTGATACTTGATGACTTTCCAATCGTTAAATCACTCTTTTCCCTTGTTATTAGGGCAGTAGATAAAGTGGCAATGGGAGGCTTTTATTTTGAAATTTTCCATGGGGTGTGTTTTGAAAACCCCCTGGAGTCTCATTTTTAAAAAAGTGGTTGAGTTTGGGTCATAATATTGAGCCATATGCTGGGAAAAAAATATGAGTTTAATTTAGGGGCTTTTATTTTGAAGGGTCCCCGGAGTCTTATTTTGAAAGTCTATCAGGGTTGCGTGTGAAGGGAAGGGTCATGGCCAGTAGTCATATTGTATCCACTTCCTAATGTTAAATCAGTGTTGTCTCCCTCCATTAGATTAAAATGTGCTGTTTAAAGTGGCAGAGGTAAAATCTCTTTGAAGCACGGTTACCTTGACAACGCTTAACGAGCCTGTCAGTGAGAGAGAGAAACGCGCTTCACTTTCGTTCCTTTCCTCTCAGGCTTTTTTGAATGGGAATATCAGCTCCGAACAAACGAGTGCTGAAGACAAACCGTAAATGGTATCTAAAAAATTCTTTCAGTCTAAGCGAGAGCTATCCTTTGTCTCCAATTGGGGTAACTTTCATGGCTGTAGCTCATTCACAACCTTAATGGGAAGGAGAAATATAAAGGTTTATAAATCCTGCTGGTCTCATTAAATAACATGCAGCAACATGGTAGAGCAGAACGCTCAAAAGCAAAACTTTCCCTGCGAACAAACGAGTGGTGAGCTAAAACCGTAAAAGGTAGTCAAAAAATTCTTTCACCGTTGGCGTCAGCCATCCTTCGGCTTCGACTGTGCCAACTTTCATGTTTCTACTAAAAACTATTTGGCCACGGTGACGATGTAAAAATGTGCATTTTCTGAGTTTGAGGATTTTTCTCAGAATCAGCGTTTTCCTATGCCCGAACAAGTCAGCTAAAAAGCTAAACCATAAATGATATTGAAGAAATTCCTTCAATGTGAGTGCTAGAAGGTTCTGAAGATGTTGTATACCAAGTTTCATGTTAGTACATCAAATAGTTAATAAATGGGAGCGATACGAAAATATGTATCGTTTTGGATTTTGTCTGTGATTTTTGGAAAATCTCTCATTGGATTTCTATTGGGGAAGTGTGGACTTCTTCATGGTCTGGGCCAAACTGTCGGAAAACCGTAAATGCCACACAAATGAGGGTTATATTTCCTGAATCCTGACAAAAATCCCTACGTTTTGATGTATAATTTATTTCAATTGAGTTAAAAATGAGGGACTGAGAAGAATTTGTTCGGAAAAACCAGAACAGCTCAAAAGCTAGAGCACGCACTCTAGCAGTTGAAGAATTCCGTCCATAGACTTCCATTATAAATCTGAAAATCTTAAAAATTTCTTTTAAAGTTTGAAGCTTCACTGAAGCAAAACTGTAAAAGTTAGCAGAAAGCCGAGTTAAACAGTAATAGCAGAAAGATACGGAAACATTTTAAAAGTTGAATGGTGTTTCTAGCTGAAAGTATGCTGAAGTAGTTAAAGGTCAAAGATGATGAAGGTTTAGCTGAATTTTGCTGAAATCTAAGAATTCTACATGCATTTCAATGGGACAAAAAAAACGCAGAAAAAGCTGAATAACGCGAAAACTACCAAAAATATCTTTACCAAAAGACATAGCAGAATTCTCCTGAACGAGCTGAACGTTTTGATACCAAAATTGTTGAAATCGGTTGAAAACTGCGGGACTAGTTAGAGTCAGAAAAATTTAAAGTGAACAACAATAAGTGGGAATGCATAAGCATTCCCACTTGATAATTGAACTTTGTTGACCTTTTATCAGAGAAATTAACTCTCAGCATTTAACCCCTTAGGGAGCAGGGAGGTTTCAAACTCGCAACCCCAGGATTCCAATCTCTATGCCCTAACCGCCCCATCTAGCGGATTAGATTTTTATTAATTTTATTTCATGCTATATTTTTCATTTCCAAAAACACAAACTATTAATTTCTTGCTTTATCCATTTTGTCCCTTCTGACTCTCCATAGAAACTGAGTTTTGACAGTTATTAATAATTTGAGCCAAACGAACCGTCCGGCTCGGTAACAGAACAGTTAATCCAGGCCCAGTCGGAGCTCCGGTACCGACCTGCATCTCTCCCCGAACCGGGGCAGCTTGTCCAGCAGGCGGGACACGCTGCCCTCCACCTTCCCGAAGTCCCTGTAGATGTGCTGGGTGCAGTCCGCGGTTCGGATGAAGGTCTGGTAGTTGGAGAAGGCCAGCTCCCGGGTCTGCTGGAGGATCTGCTGCCGCTCCTCGGCCAGCCGCTCCGGCTCCCGGCTCAGTGAGTCCAGGCCGCAGGAGCTGAGCTCGGACAGGTAGGCGGAGAAGTCCGGGTTTTCCCTCCAGCTATCCGGGAAGCTGTCCTTAAACACCGACACCAGGATGCTCTCATCCTCCACGTCCATGATGCCGCAGCCGGTTCCGAACGTCGTTGCCCCGGATCACGGATCTGAAGCTGTTTACCTGGAGGTGACAACCACTTCCGGTTTGACTTCTTCTTCTACTACAGTAGCAGCTTTACCGCCACCTAGCGGCCGGACTGAGTCACAAAAGTGACCTGTCTGTAAATGAGAGCTGCTCACTGTGTCAGATTCAGATCAGGATTATTATTATTTCAGATAATAAAGTAAAAAATCTTGGTGTTGTTTTTGATCAGGACCAGTCATTTAAATCCCAGATCAAAGAGGTTTCTAGAATTTCCTTCTTTCATCTGAGGAATATTGCAAAAATGAGCAATCTCCTGTCCAGGGGTGATGCTGAGAAACTAGTCCATGCATTTGTTACTTCAAGGCTGGACTATTGTAATTCTTTACTATCAGGAAGTCCACAAACTGTAGTTAAAAGCCTTCAGCTGATCCAAAATGCTGCAGCCAGAGTTCTGATGAAAATGAAAAAGAGAGATCATATCTCGCCTATCCTGGCTTCTCTTCATTGGCTTCCTGTTAAATCCAGAATAGAATTTAAAATCCTCCTTCTCACATATAAAGCCTTAAATGGCCAAGCTCCATCTGATATCAGAGATCTGATTGTTCCTTATGTTCCTAACAGAGCACTTCGCTCTCAATCTGCAGGTTTACTAGTGGTTCCTAGAATTTCTAAAAGTAGAATGGGAGGCAGATCTTTTAGTTCTCAGGCTCCTCTCCTGTGGAACCAACTACCAGTTTTAGTCCGTGAGGCAGACACCCTGTCTACTTTTAAGGCTAGGCTTAAAACTTTCCTTTTTGATAAAGCTTCTAGTTAGAGTGGCTCAGGTTATCCTGAGCTATCTCTATAGTTCTGCTGCTATAGGCTTAGACTGCTGGAGGACATAGGGACCCCTTTTTCATCATTCTGCTTCATTCTATCTCTATTCTCCCACTCTGCAGAATCTGTTAGTTCAATCTCTAACGTTCTGCTCTCTCTGCTTTTTCTCATAGTAGCTTCATCTGGTCTGTTCCTGTTTGGCTGTGACTCCATCCTGGAGAGAAATATCAGCTGTGCTGCTGCCATCAACACCTTTGTTTCTAGATGTTGGAGCTTGGCCTGTTTTCCAGTGTAGTCCTGTTTCTCTGACTGTGACTAACTGGATGTGCTCTCTTCATCCTCTGACATGGGAGCTGGCTCGGAGCTCGTCTGCCTGGCTGTGTGTTTCCTGGACGGGGCCGCCTGTGGAGCTGGTTGACAGTTGCCTTTTGTATCTATGCTTCTTTTTCTATGTCTGCTTCTGTCTCCTTGAACCCCAGTGGGCCTCAGCAGATGGCCGCTCACTCTGAGCCTGGTTCTGCTGGAGGTTTCTTCCTGTTCAAAGGGAGTTTTTCCTCTCCACTGTCGCTACAAGCATGCTTAGTGTGAGGGATTGCTGAAGAGTCAATGAGTCGATGCAATCAGCTGGTTTTCCTTAGATAGAAAACTTTGAATCAATCTGACTGGATGATCTGGTGAACTGGAAAGTGACCTGAGATGACTTGGGTTGTCAATTGGCGCTATAGAAATAAATTGAATTGATTACAAAATAGTTCCTTTAAAATGTTCCAATTTTATTTACCGACAGTTAAGAGCTAAAAAATCTACTTCCTGTGTTTGTCTGCTGAAGAGTAACCACAGCAACCAGTGACTCAGCCTCTCCTGTTTCCCTGATTGACCAGGAGTCGACTCCATTTGGATGAGGATGATGAAGAGGAATGAGACTCATTAAACACAGAAGGCTTTTTTTCCATATGAACAGTTTATATTTGTGGTTCTAGAGGCAGAATACGAACAGAACAGGAAGTAGAAACAATAAATAAGACACTTGAGCTTCGCTGACTGAGCACTACGGTTAAAAATCAGTTAATGAAACAAGCCGATGACACTGATGAGCTGATATTTGGTTGGAACTCCTCCCCCTCCTCGGATATAATCTCGTTCATTTGTGCGTTATATTTGATGTGAATGTTGTGGACACAGAACACCTCCTTAAACATTCAGAGGCACCACCCTGGATGATTGAAGGAGGTCAAAAAGTGACAGAGTCAGCAGAGGACTGGGCAAGCCCCGCCCCCCTCAGCTCAGCCGCGTCAGTCCAGATCCTGGACGCGACGGCAGATCTCAGCGGTGAACTCTGAACATTTGGAGTTTCCTCCCAGGTCCTTTGTCAGCACCTGAAACAGAAGCAGCCAATCAGCTTCAGCCTCAGCAAAGAGTGTAAACCGCCGTCGACTCCATCCAATCACAGCGCAGGAGGCGGGACTTTACGATGGGCGGGTCTCAGTGCCAGAATTACCCATAATGCAGCAGTGCTTTTCTGCTAGCATAAAAACAAGCTGGTGACGGCAATGGAGCAATGACACTAAAGAAAGTACCAGAAAGCAAAGCTTCTTTTAAGGAAACCGGCAGAAATCGGCCACTGGAGACTTTCCTCTATGACTAAAAATGTTTCACAGACAGCAAAATGACAAAAACGGAGCGCGTCGCTTGGAATTTTTGCTTCGCATCAGTAGTTATCGGATTGGTTCTGACCTGATGAGGCTAACCCGTTAATCCCGCCTTTGAAATTGATCTGTTCCAGCTCTTTACGATGCTGTAAACAGATAATATTCTTGATCTAAACTAATCCGGACCAGTAGAACCTTAGAGTTTAGGACCAGGGATTAAAAACAGCATCATCCACCGACAAAATAAAACCAACCCGCCTCACCTTCTTCTCCTTGATGGTTTCGAAGCAGGCTGTCTGGACCTTGGTGGCGTGCTCATGCAGACCCATGTGGCGCAGCATCATGACGGCGCTGAGCAGCAGGGCGGTGGGGTTGGCCAGATCCAATCCAGCTATGTCGGGCGCGGTGCCGTGGACCTGCAAGAAGGAGACGCATCTGGTCTTCAGAAAGTTTCTATTACAGCAGGGAGGTTCTGGAGACAAACATCCGTCCACATGAACGGTACGGTACCCCAGTCAGCCTCAGCAGATGGCCGCTCACACTGAGACTGAGGTTTCCTCCTGTTCAAAGGGAGTTTTTCCTCTCCACTGTCGCTACAAGCATGCTTAGTGTGAGGGATTGCTGAAGAGTCAATGAGTCGATGCAATCAGCTGGTTTTCCTTAGACAGAAAAACACCGGGTCTAAGAGAATCCAGCAGCAGGAACCTGATGCTGAAACCAGTTTCCTCTGAAATGGACCCAATTCTGCCTGCTGATCACAGGCAGAGAGCCAGCTAATATGAAATAATAACCAGTTTAATTGACTAATAACCAGTTTAATTGGCTACTAACCAGTTTAATTGGCAAATAACCAGTTTAATTGACTAATAACCAGTTTAATTGGCTAATAACCAGTTTAATTGGCTAATAACCAGTTTAATTGGCAAATAACCAGTTTAATTGACTAATAACCAGTTGAATTGGCTACTAACCAGTTTAATTGGCTACTAACCAGTTTAATTGGCAAATAACCAGTTTAATTGACTAATAACCAGTTTAATTGGCTAATAACCAGTTTAATTGGCTACTAACCAGTTTAATTGGCAAATAACCAGTTTAATTGACTAATAACCAGTTTAATTGGCTAATAACCAGTTTAATTGACTACTAACCAGTTTAATTGGCAAATAACCAGTTTAATTGACTAATAACCAGTTTAATTGGCTAATAACCAGTTTAATTGGCTAATAACCAGTTTAATTGGCTAATAACCAGGTTAATTGGCTAATAACCAGGTTAATTGGCTAATAACCAGTTTAATTGACTAATAACCAGTTTAATTGGCTAATAACCAGTTTAATTGACTAATAACCAGGTTAAACGGCTAATAACCAGTTTAATTGGCTACTAACCAGTTTAATTGGCTAATAACCAGGTTAAACGGCTAATAACCAGTTTAATTGGCTACTAACCAGTTTAATTGGCTAATAACCAGTTTAATTGACTAATAACCAGGTTAAACGGCTAATAACCGGTTTAATTGACTAATAACCAATTGAATTGGCTAATAACCAGGTTAATTGGCTAATAACCAGTTTAATTGGCTAATAACCAGTTTTAATTGGCTAATAACCAGGTGAAATGGCTAATAACCAGGTTAATAGGCTAAGAACCAGTTTAATTGGCTAATAACCAGGTTAAACGGCTAATAACCAGGTTAATTGGCTAATAACCAGTTTAATTGGATACTAACCAGTTTAATTGGCTAATAACCGGTTTAATTGACTAATAACCAGGTTAAACGGCTAATAACCAGGTTAATTGGCTAATAACCAGGTTAATTGGCTACTAACCAGTTTTAATTAGCTAATAACCAGGTGAAATGGCTAATAACCAGGTTAAACGGCTAATAACCAGGTTAATTGGCTAATAACCAGGTTAATTGGCTACTAACCAGTTTTAATTAGCTAATAACCAATTGAATTGGCTAATAACCAGGTTAATTGGCTAATAACCAGGTTAAACGGCTAATAACCAGTTTAAATGGAATTGTTGACCTGGCTAAACAGGCAACTTGTTCTGTTCCCCTGTAAAGGGGTCGGGGGTTCAGATGACAGTAGGAAGGGATCAACTCTATCGCTGAGTTTGTCAGTTTTCGAGAGCTGAAATCTGAGGGTAAAAACATACAAAGTAAGAATAAAAGAGATGATAAATATTATAACATGCACAGAAATAAATACTTAAAAAAATAAGTAGTTAATAAATAAATATAATGGACAAAAAATAAATAAATAAGCTAATTAAAAGAGATATATACACATTAATGTCTCACTGTATAACTTAATTTCTACCTACATTTATTTGTTTATTGTATTTTTAGGGGCAATTAATTGTCTGCATATTTATTTATTGAGCATTTATTTATTTCTGTATTTATTTTTAAAGATGGTAGAGCTGGTCCTCCATAACCGCTAATATCCAGGAAGTAACAGCAACTATCAACTAAAACCACCGATACTCGGTGGGTCTTGGTCACAATTAAATCCCTGAGTTAAACCCAGACTGGATCTGAGCTGCTGTATCTAACCCTGATGTTGTCATGGCGATATCTCCCAACATCTCTCGTCAGCGTTCAGCTGTAGTCTCTCACCGATTCAAAGATGGCCACTCCGTTGGCGCCGATGTTCCCGCTGGGAGTGACGCCGAGTCCTCCGATCAGACCGGCACACAGGTCACTGAAACAGAGTCACATGATGTCAGAATCCCAGGCTTCCGATTGGCTGCTAGCCGTCTGACTGGCACTGACCTGAGGATGTCGCCGTACAGGTTGGGCATGACCAGAACGTCAAACTGGGTTGGATCCTGAACCATCTGGAAGCAGAGAAGGAAGCAGAGGATGAGGAAGATATCCGGCAGCTTCGCCAGAACCATCAGATTCCCTTAGACCCGGAAAACGTCTCCATCAGAGCAGCCGATGGAGTTTATGTAAAACTCTCAAACTCACATTAAGACACACGGTGTCCAGGTACATCTCTGTAAACTTGATGTCCTTGTAGTTCTCCGCCACCTCCCTGCACTTCCTCAGGAACAGGCCGTCTGACATCCGCCTGCAGAGAGAAATCACATCTCCATCAAGCTGCCTGGTTCTCCTCAGAGGGAGACGGTCTGCAGGGCGGAGGCTCTCACATGATGTTGGCTTTGTGGACGGCCGTCACGCTGCTTCTCTGGTTGTTTCGGGCGTATTCGAAGGCGTACTCTGCGATGCGTGTGCTGGCGTTTTCCGTGATCAGCTTGATGCTCTGAACGACGCCGTCAACAATCTGAGGCAACGACACCAGAGAAATGTTAAACTTGCCCTGCTGCATCCAGAGGAAGCAGAGGATTGATGAGACGACATGAAGCTGAACGTCTGACGGCAGCAGAGAGATCTGCAGATCTACAGACATGAGCCGACTCGCCGGGACCGATCCGCGCCGGGACCGATCCACGCCGGGACCGATCCGCGCCGGGGCAGTGCCGCGCCGGGACCGATCCGCGCCGGGACCGATCCACGCCGGGACCGATCCACGCCGGGACCGATCCGCGCCGGGGCAGTGCCGCGCCGGGACCGATCCGCGCCGGGACCGATCCACGCCGGGACCGATCCGCGCCGGGGCAGTGCCGCACCGGGACCGATCCGCGCCGGGGCAGTGCCGCGCCGGGACCGATCCGCGCCGGGGCAGTGCCGCGCCGGGACCGATCCGCGCCGGGACCGATCCGCACCGGGACCGATCCACGCCGGGACCGATCCACGCCGGGACCGATCCACGCCGGGACCGATCCGCGCCGGGGCAGTGCCGCGCCGGGACCGATCCGCGCCGGGACCGATCCACGCCGGGACCGATCCGCGCCGGGACCGATCCGCGCCGGGGCAGTGCCGCACCGGGACCGATCCGCGCCGGGGCAGTGCCGCGCCGGGACCGATCCGCGCCGGGGCAGTGCCGCGCCGGGACCGATCCGCGCCGGGACCGATCCGCGCCGGGACCGATCCGCGCCGGGACCGATCCGCGCCGGGACCGATCCGCGCCGGGGCAGTGCCGCGCCGGGACCGATCCGCACCGGGACCGAGCCGCGCCGGGACCGATCCACGCCGGGACCGATCCGCGCCGGGACCGATCCGCACCGGGACCGATCCGCGCCGGGGCAGTGCTGCACCGGGACCGAGCCGCGCCGGGACCGATCCGCTGCAGCTCAGGAAACATCCGTTACATTTCACCAAACATCTGGAGCCTACAGCGCCCCCTATAGCTCCTCCTGCTGGTTAAACCTGAATAGAAATCTAACATTTGGTCTGAGGAGCGAATCATCCACATCAATACAGAAGGAGCTCAAACTTCCCTCAGTTTCACTCATTTCTGAAATATTTATTCTTTAAAAATGTGTTTATATCGTTTTATTTCAAAGTTTTTAGGCCATCTGAGAAGCTTCTAACAGGATTAATAAGAAGTAAAAACAATAAAAACAAAAGAAAAATTATCTACACATAATTATAAAGAGACCAAAGATCCATCAGGAGAAAATCTTTCATGGCTCGTCGTTTCCCATGGTTCAGTGCGGGCCGGAGCCAGCAAACAGTACGAGTCCGGACTCGTGTCCTCGCCAAGTATGTTCTTTAGAAGAACACAGAAAAGTGTGGACTCTGGGAGAACGGAGCGTAAATATGGGTCAACTGGAACAGAATAATAATAAATTCTGACTTTTTCATTTAGTGGAGGAACAATAAAGAACACAGATAAACACAAATCAAATGAACATTTTGCCAAATGAAACTTAAAACTCGGCATCAGAGCCGGCGGTCCTTCACACGCGGCTATGCAGAGAGTTGGTCCTCTCAACATCAGAAATGTTTTTTAAACTACGCCTTAAATCGGAACATGTTCCATATAGTGATGCTTAAAAGTATGATATTCTCGCCTTTGTTTCTGAGATCTTTGAAGGACCTGGAGACGGAGGAGGAGACCAGTTCTCCATCAGGAACCCAAAGCTAACAGCTAACTCCTCTCTGTGTTCACCAGCCTGAAATATCTGCAGCCCCTCAGTGAAGCACGGGGGCGGCAGCGTCAGGATGTGGGGCATGAGAACCCGATTAGTATGAAAGAACACAATCAGGAGAGAACCACGCTCTAGAACCGGGCCAGACATTTCCAGCATGATCAGGGTGTGGAGGCTCAGCCATCAGGGTTTGGGCCTTCAGAACCAGGACCTTCTGGTACTCACCACATGCTCGATGCCGCTGTACTCGCCCTCCGTGTTCTCCCGGATGGTGACCAGGTCCACGTCTGTGTAAGGCGTCTTGTAGCCCTCGATGGAGACGCATGGACGCACGTTGGCGTACAGGTCGAAGGTCTTCCTGAGCAGCAGGTTCATGGACGGGTGTCCGGCAGCGATGGGCGTCTTCAGAGGACCTGAAGGAGACGAAGGTCAGAGCGATCCAGAGGAGATATGGCAAAGTGGGAGGATCAGACCGACCTTTCAGGCCGATCTTACTGCGGTCCATCGACTCTTTGGCGTCAGGAGGGATCATCCACTTTCCGCCGGGGCCTTTGATGGCCGTCACGTTCCTCTCCTCCCATCTGATTGGGGCCTGCGGGGAAAAACGGGTCAGTTTCCACATCTGAACCAGGAGAGGCGGTTCTGATCCAACAGGAGACTCACTTTAGCAGCGTCGAAGATCTTCACCACAGCAGCAGAGATCTCTGGACCGATCCCGTCTCCTGGAATCAGGGTGACCGTCTGCATCTGCAGCCAAACACAAACGCCATCAGCTGGTCCGTTTCAATACTTTATGCTGCAGAACAGAGAACATCCAGAACCCAGGAGGATCCGTCCAAAGCTGCAGGGTTCTGTCCGAATGACACCTTCACTGCTGCTGGAGGAGCCGCTTTGGATCACCAAGAGAAGAAGCTTCAGAAAGAGGACTGAGGTGGAGATGTTTGGGCAGAGAACCCATGAGGACTAAGACTGGATACTTTAGCTAAAGACCTGAATCGATTCAATTTTCATTCATACAGTTCTGACTTGATGAATTTCGATTCGATCTGTTTTTACGATAATGAAAACGGTTCAACTATGTTTCAAAAACACTCATGTATTTTAGGTTTTCCTCTTTTATTAGAAACAAAGTTCCATCTTGTAAATCAGACAGTTTAAACTTGAGATGTAAACAAAACTGTCTCAAAAGTGCAAACTTGTAGTGAAAAGTGAAACAAATGTGACTAAATCACTCCCCGCGAGCAAGCAGACGTGACACGGCGGGGATCTTTAGACCCGTTAGTGAGGAAGTTCAGTGCGTGGGCGAAGCTGCAGACATGCATGAGCTGCATCATCTCTGCTGCACAAACCATATTTACAGCGTCGCCTCCAACGACTACAGTAGCAGCCATTCAAGATGGCCGTTCCAAGTCAAACGCCGCTCAATGGCAGAAAAATCCCCTCCAACTTCCAGCCACTGGTCTGGGCATGAATACTTTTTACTCTGACTCCAGCTTTTCACTGAATTACAGGGTCTGATGAGGCTTTAGGTCTTAATGTCCACAAATCATGACAGAAAGAATATTTTAGATGTTTAAAAAGGAATTGTAGTGGACCAGCCGGGGACCAGCCAAGGACCAGCCAAGGACCAGCCGGGGACCGACCAAGGACCAACCAAGGACCAGCCAAGAACCAGCCAAGGACCAACCAAGGACCGGCCGGGGACCAGCCAAGGACCAGCCAAGGACCAGCCGGGGACCGGCCATGGACCAGCCAAGGACCAGCCGGGGACCAGCCAAGGACCAGCCAAGGACCAGCCGGGGACCGACCAAGGACCAACCAAGGACCAGCCAAGAACCAGCCAAGGACCAACCAAGGACCGGCCGGGGACCAGCCAAGGACCAGCCGGGGACCGGCCATGGACCAGCCAAGGACCGGCCGGGGACCAGCCAGGGACCAGCCGGGGACCAGCCAAGGACCAGCCAGGGACCAGCCATGGACCAGCCAAGGACCGGCCGGGGACCAGCCAAGGACCGGCCGGGGACCAGCCAAGGACCGGCCAAGGACCAGCCAAGGACCAACCAAGGACCGGCCGGGGACCGGCCAAGGACCGGCCGGGGACCGGCCAAGGACCAGCCGGGGACCAGCCAAGGACCAGCCAGGGACCAGCCAAGGACCAACCAAGGACCGGCCGGGGACCGGCCAAGGACCGGCCGGGGACCAGCCATGGACCAGCCAGGGACCAGCCAAGGACCAGCCAAGGACCAGCCAGGGACCAGCCAAGGACCAGCCATGGACCAGCCAGGGACCAGCCAAGGACCAGCCAAGGACCAGCCATGGACCAGCCAAGGACCAGCCATGGACCAGCCAGGGACCAGCCAAGGACCAGCCAAGGACCAGCCAGGGACCAGCCAAGGACCAGCCAAGGACCAGCCAAGGACCAGCCAAGGACCAGCCATGGACCAGCCAAGGACCAACCAAGGACCAGCCAGGGACCAGCCAAGGACCAGCCAAGGACCAGCCAAGGACCGGCCAAGGACCAGCCAAGGACCGGCCGGGGACCGGCCAAGGACCGGCCAAGGACCAGCCAAGGACCAGCCGGGGACCAGCCAAGGACCAGCCAAGGACCAGCCAGGGACCAGCCATGGACCGGCCGGGGACCAGCCAAGGACCAGCCAGGGACCAGCCAAGGACCAGCCAAGGACCAGCCAAGGACCAGCCAGGGACCAGCCAAGGACCAGCCAGGGACCAGCCATGGACCAGCCAGGGACCAGCCATGGACCAGCCAAGGACCAGCCGGGGACCAGCCAAGGACCAGCCAAGGACCAGCCAGGGACCAGCCAAGGACCAGCCAAGGACCAGCCAAGGACCAGCCAAGGACCAGCCAAGGACCAGCCAGGGACCAGCCAAGGACCAGCCAGGGACCAGCCATGGACCAGCCAAGGACCGGCCGGGGACCAGCCAAGGACCGGCCGGGGACCAGCCAAGGACCGGCCGGGGACCAGCCAGGGACCAGCCAAGGACCAGCCGGGGACCAGCCAGGGACCAGCCGGGGACCAGCCAGGGACCAGCCAGGGACCAGCCAAGGACCAGCCGGGGACCAGCCAGGGACCAGCCAGGGACCAGCCGGGGACCAGCCGGGGACCAGCCAGGGACCAGCCAGGGACCAGCCGGGGACCAGCCAGGGACCAGCCGGGGACCAGCCAGGGACCAGCCGGGGACCAGCCGTTAAGCTACATCAGTGTTTGCAGCTGTGTGGCGTGACGTAATCTCATGGTCTGTACGCATGAAACGCAAGGCGCCCTTTATTATCAATGTAGTGAGGAGTCACCGACATGCAGGACTAAGTTGACAGCAACATCCATGTGTCAGAAGTTGTGCCAACTTCTCTCCTAAATGCGTTTTCATTGGGATATCTTCTTTCACCTGTCTGTACATCATGGGGATACCCTGTCCAGTCAGATGTTTGCGCTAACCCCACCCTGCTCCCTGGGCGCCTCACAATGGCAGCCTACTGCTCCCCAAGGGGAGGGGCTAAATGCAGAGAATTAATTTCGTTGCTCTGTATTTGTGACAGTGTAATGACAATAAAATTGAATTATTATTATCATTATTGCCAGACACAACCGTGCCGCGCTAACATGGTACTGGTTCATCAGCAGGGTTCAGCGTGGTTCAGTTCTGGTTCGGTTCTCACATAAAGATCGCATGAGCAGACGCCGTCATCTCCTTACAGTCAGTCTTCATAATCAGGAAATTTCAAACTTTCATGAAAATCCTAGCTCTTAAATCTATTAGAGGGTAATGTAAATGGGGCTATAGCAAGAAACTGGTGGAGGTGTTTCCATCCAGGGACGTGTGGAATTCCCTAAATGACCCGGCGATGGTCCAAAAGGTTGGACAGATGCTGAGATGTGAAACAACCGCTGTGTTACAGGAAGCTGCTGGAGTCACTCACCCCTCTGGAGAAGGACGACACAGCAGGTCTCCGCACGGCGCCACCCATCCCCCGGCTTACCTGCAGGACACAACATGACAGATCAGTAAACCCACCAGAACCGCTGTTCTATGAGCCCTAATGCAGCCTGGTTAAAAGCCCTAGAATGAAACCACAGGTTTTCTTCCTTTTATGGTTTGATCATGAATATTTAGATGAGCTGTGCTCTGATTGGTTGGTTTACAACGAGCCAAGCTGCTGAGCAAAGACGCATCATAGCAACAATCACTCACTCACTGAAACATCAGATTGTTGATATGGTAGGGGGACCAGACGTCCTCTTTTTCCCGGACATGTCCTACTTTTCATACCTAAAAAAATGTCCGAAGGGAATTTAAAAATCATCCGGGACTTTGGTCGACTAGAGTGCAAACGGAGCGACTGAACCCAACCCGGTGACGGTAGCCTGGACACCGGCGACCCCCTGCTTTCCCCCGCCTGCCTTACCGGCCCCCAGCCCACCCCTCTCCCTTGTGCAGTGAACCAGTGGGGCGGTCTTTATGTCAATTTCGGGGCGTGACAAAAGTCAAGGCCAGAACCAAATAAGGCAACATCCCGAGTTTACGTCACCTTGGTGCTTCGTTTGGATTCCCTGTTTTATGGTGGAAGTTTAGAATCGTGAGATTTGCAGAGAAAGGAGGAGTTGATGAGGTTTGAACTTCTCTGTACGTCCATTTCACCCCCTGAACCATCGTTATTCATCTATGACAATAGAAACCCTGCATTCTATGACCCCTTTATGGTCCTTCTGATGGAGACAGCCCCATGCTTCAATGTCAAACACGTTGGACCCGGAACCAAAGTTCTCCAAACACCTTCCTGGTGTGTGAGTTTTCTGTTGTCATCTTCACAGTCAGAGCCAATCAGAGCAGAGAAGGGGCATTTCCTCAGCTCTGATTGGCTCTGACAGGTTGCACCCAGGGTAGAAACTAATCCCATCCCTGACCATGAATCTCCACAGTCAGCACCTGTTCAGAACTGTTCATCCAGGACCTCCTAACAACTGTAATAAATTATCTATCTCATTAAATCCTTGGATTTAGTCCAAACTTCCAAGTGTTTTTTGTGATTTAACCCTTTTGGTTGTGATGTGAATGGAGCAGTACTATCAGTTGGACTGAGTCTATACTATTTCTATATAAACAGCTGAGGGAGGAGCACCGTCCTCCCTGAAGGTCACCCCTCATCACGGACAGACAGGTATGAGCCCCACGCAGGGCAGCGTGCTAATCTGTTGCTGCGTCCTAAATCTCCACAGAGGTGAGATTCTAACAGGATCTGCAGCCGCAGGTCTCAGCAGCCACACCTAAACATCACATCCTGATTTATAGCAACTGTTTCCAAGAGTGATGCGTTCAATATCAGCCGAATTATCCAGAGAGCCACTATCTTCCCTTTCTGGTTCAGATCCTTTAGTCTGACCTGCAGGGTTTCAGTTTAACCTGAAAACAATCATTAATACGTCACTTTTCTCTAGAGGTCTGGTGCCAACTTAGAAAGCGGCCTCTGCTTCTAGCGGTACCGGCTGTTAGCGGGACAAACAGGCCGGTAAGTCAGCCGGATGTCCATGTTCAATGCTTCAAATAGATAGAGGAGGACTTCTGAGTGAAGCTGAGGAAACTTCTCCATCATCTGACTTCCCTGTTGAAGGACATTGATCGATGCTAACAGCTAAGAGGCTAACAGTGGAGTCTAAACGCTGATTTATCGGGACACTAAGACCCGGAGCCGTCATTTCCCTCGGTAACCCCCCCACTGAAGCCAACCGCAGCCCGCGGCGCGGAGGTAGAACCGCGGGTAGAGAGTTTCCAGCAGTTAGAAAGATGTTCCTTCTTACCAGTGACCTCCACACGCTGCCTGCTGCCATCCTGACGAGAAGCTGAGATCCTCCGAAGACGAGATGCCTCACTACAACCTGCTTCTGCTGTCCTGTCGATCTGTCAAAGAGGTGAAAACCTTGTGTGCGAGATGCATCACTCGCTTTACTTTTCATAGGTACGAATTTCTGTTCTGATTATTTTTATGGTGCTTTTAACAAATATTTGATACTTTTATGTTTTAACTTTTCTTCACTTTGTGCAGATTTTTAAAATCTTTATATATATATAGTCTTGAAACATGTTTTTTTTATTGCAAAAAAAAAAAAAAAACATACAAAAACAACATTGAACATTAATAATTACACTCAGATACAACATCAAAGGGCTTTACAAAATATACGGCAATTATTTTACAATTTAAAATCAAATCTGTACTCGAGGGTTGCAGTTCTTTAAGGGCAGTTATCATTTGAATGGCTTTAGCATTTGAGCTAAATTTTAAGGATTCTATGTAGATAATAAAATCTGGAATTTTTTTTGTTGTAAATTTTGTTGTAATTTTGGGGGGTGAATATGATATTTACCATAAATAATAATAGGAACATAAAAATTAGGAACATAAAAATTCTGTTTTGATAAGTTCACATTTCTCCATCCCAAACAAAACATCTTTATCCGTTAAAGTAATGTTGAGATCTGTTGATAAAAAAAGGACATAACTCTCCAGAATATTTAGGTGTAGTTAAAATCCCAAAAAAGATGAATAATCTTTTCTTCATTATTTTTACAAAAACTACACATCAGGTCCAATGTCTTGAAACATGTCCTTTTCTAGTGGGCTGCTCAGTGTGGCAGTGGGCAGCAAGAAGGTTCCGGGTTTGATTCCCAAACCAGTGTGTTTCTGCATGGAGTTAGCATGTTCTCCCTGAGCATGCGTGGGTTCTCTCCGGGTACTCCTGCTTCCTCCCACAGTCCAAAAACATGAGAATTAGGTTAACTGGCTTCTCTAAATCCTCCTTAGGTGTGAGTGTGAATGGTTGTTTGTCCTGTTTGTCTCTGTGTTTCCCTGCGATGGACTTTAGACCTGTCCAAGATGGACCCCGCCTCTCACCCGTAGACAGCTGGAGATGGACACCAGCACCCCTTGCCACCCCGCTTGGGATAAGCGTGATGGAAAATGGAGGGATGGATGTCCTTTTGCTGCATATAGAATAAATTCATTTAAAAGAAAATGCTCTGAAATCAGACACAACGTTGTTCCTTATCTTCCTAACAGAACACCTGGCTCTCAATCTGCAGGATCACTAGTGGCTACAAGTAATTCCAAAAGTAGATTTTGATGGTAAAAAGTATTTTATAATCTGTTCCTGTTTCGCCTGTAGTTATTAACTCTGATTGTGAGATTGTTTTGTTACCTTTATTGCACAAAAGTGTTTGTTTAGACTGTTGCACACCAGCAAGGATACAGAGTGTCTGAATGAGAGGAATTGTTTAATACTGTTAGGAAATGTTTTGCAATAAGAGTGCAGACTTATTCAACTCAATGTTTATTCAACATTTGACTGTTTTCTGCAGCTGTCCTTATCTTGTTTGGATTAACTGTATGTGAAAACCTTCAGGTTTGCAGACTTTAAGTTAGTTAGAAAACCTTGTCTAGATCAGAATAGGCAGGAAAATTGACAAGGCTGTTTTCTCCATCGCAAGGATTAATAAACACAGCCAGGGGTGGGTATTGCCAAAGTAGTCACGATTCGATGCGAATCACGATTCACATGCCACGATGCGATTCTATCACGATGCATCACGATTCTTGAATTATTGCGATACATTCATGCATAGCTGTATTTTTTAAATGACTTTTGGAGGTGTTGCCATGAAAACAAATACTACTCTAACAATATATCAACTTTATTTTTACCTTTGTTTTTAAAACCAAAATGCTTCCAAACATCGGATTTGAAATGTGACGGAGCCGGACCAAGTTTCTCAATCTCCTCCGTGTTTTGTTTTTGAATGACTCGGCGCAGTATCCCGCAGCCGGAAATGCTTGTGACACAAGGCAGCGTGTGTCAACACATCCGCAGCGAAACCTACTGGACTGGAAGTTGTATTACACTTGTTTTTGGCTGATGTTCGCCAACCATTCATGCAATTTTATCTATTCATTTTTTTCTAATTAATCATCGATACTTGGCGTCAAGAATCGATGCAGTAGATCACGAAAATTAGAATCACAATGCATCATCATGACGATTATTTTGCACACCCCTAAACACAGCTGGAATGGAAAAAAAACAATCTAAATTTCTTGCTAAATAAGACTCAGACTTTTTTTAGTTCTCAGGCTCCTCTCCTGTGGAACCAACTACCAGTTTTAGTCCGTGAGGCAGACACCCTGTCTACTTTTAAGGCTAGGCTTAAAACTTTCCTTTTTGATAAAGCTTCTAGTTAGAGTGGCTCAGGTTATCCTGAGCTATCTCTATAGTTCTGCTGCTATAGGCTTAGACTGCTGGAGGACATAGGGACCCCTTTTCATCATACTGCTTCATTCTATCTCTATTCTCCATTTTAGGTTCCCTATCTTTATGTTTTCTCTCTTCTTTCTCCACTGTGCCTCCAAAATGTTGCTCCTCTTTAGAGGCACTAGTGGAAGCCATCGGTCATCTCTACTTCACCTTCAGGTCAGAACACATTTTTCGCCAATAAGGTTTGTATGAAGAGCCCAAGGACAGAACCACCGCTGACCCAAAAGAACACAAAAGCCCGTCTCAAGGCAAGGCACATTTATTTGTTTTAGGTACAGAAGAGTTCAAAGTGCTTTACAGGCATTTACACGAACAATAAAAACAGGAATAAAAAGCAGAATAAAAGCAGGCAAAGATTAAGAAATGATAAAATCTGGTAATAAAACAGTTGGACCATAACCTTAAACTAATAATACCTCCGTTAACAGTTTAACTTCAAGAGTCAAAGGAAATTCTAAACTAAGGTTTTTAACTTTGACTTATAAATGCTCACATGTTTATGTGAGTATAATTAAGAGGATCAAAGATGCTTTGATTTAAATTGATTGCGTATTGAATTCTGTGAAGCTCTCCGTAAATAATTAAGGCAGCTTTATAATGGCGATATATAGAGCAGGACTGAATATTCTGCTGGTATGATGAGGAACTGAACTCTGTAGGGTAGATATTAGGTTCCTATAAGGACATCCTCACTTAATCACCTTGATGCCTTCAGGAGCCCTCAGAAACCTCATTTCCCCAGAGAACTGCTTTCAGACGGTTTCAGTTCTTCCTCATGGGAGGATGAGAATGAACGGATCAGTCAGTGTTTAATCGCTTAAGCCTGAAAACGAACGGGAAATCTCAGAATATATAAATAAGTAAAATATTAACTTAGTCTGTCATAGAAAGCAGAGATTCCAAGCAGCACTTGAAAGCAGCACAGCAATCCACCCTTCTTCCTCCTCCTCTCCCTCCTCCTCCTCCCAGGATCAGATTTTCCTCTTTGCTGCCTCCAGCTGAACAAGCATCACCCTCGGAGCTGGATGCAGATGCAAAGCCTTCCCATCAGGACCGCGTGAGACCCCCCCGCCTGGACGAGGAGCGACCTGAAGGGTGGACGTGGTGGAGTCTTCCAGGGGGATGCAGCTTTGTGATGGGAGGATCCGCCGGACACGATGGGCAACAAACAGACGACCTTCACCGAGGAGCAGCTGGAGGCGTATCAGGTAGCAGGTCTTATGAGTTTCTGTGAGGATTAAGATGAGGCGGCAGATAACGGGAACATAAATCAGACGCTGGACGATCAGAACGGCACAGCTGCTGCTGATTGGCTGATCCTCAGCCTCCATCTGCATCCTGATGCCCTGAAACCAGATCCTCGCAGAGGACTCATCCTGTTTATCTGTTTGTTTACAGGACTGCACCTACTTCACCCGGAAGGAGATCCTGAGGTGAGTGCTGGAGCAGGATCTGTTTGTTTGCTGAAACATAGATCTTCTGAGTCAGGATTCCAACATGGTGCATGATGACCTGAGCCTCTGGAGTTATGTAACCTTTTGTGAGAACATGTGGAAGCTTAAAGAAACATGGAGAGAATGAGTGAGAAGAATAGGGTTGAGGTGGAGCTACAGAGGAGTAAAGCTGATGATGAAGATCTGTTAAAGCTGGAGAAGCTTCAGGAAGCCACCAGATTAGATGTTATAGTTCTTCTTCCCTCTGGAGATCATCTCATGCAAACAGGTCCTCCAGCTTCCACTGACCTCTCACACACATGGAGTCTTGAACTGAGGAAGAAGACCATTCATTGCGTGAAACCATTCTCTCATCTTTTAATTTTATTTAAAGTGTGATGCGATCAAAGAAATGCTTTTCATGGGAGAAGTCTCAGAGAGATTTTCCAGACTGAAACCTTTTCAGCCTCCATGATGGTTGTTAGGATTACAGGTGATCTCCTAACATTCAGGCAGGAAACTCAAGCCGGTTCATGGAGGTTCCAGGAAGTCATGAGGACTTTAGACCACTAGAGGGAATTCCACACATGCAAATAAATATATAAATAAACTCTATTGATTTAAATGCCACATATTCATAAAGTAATAATTATAGAAATGAGAAAACATTACTTTTATTACATATTTATCACTGCCACTGTAAGACTGTGAGCATTTATGCACATGTGGAAAAATGGCACCCGGAAAAAGATGGCTTAAAAGTAATGCACTAGATGCTGAGGAAGATTCTCAGTCATCCAGGTCATAGTCATTCCGTAAAAATTCAAAAAATATCCACTGGACTTGGTTTCCAAGATTTGAAGATTCTTCAAATCTTGGAAACCAAGTCCAGTGGATATTTTCCGAATAATGCACTGATGTCTCACTCTGCTCCCCTTTAGTGAAAAAAGGCTAAATTTGAATGTGCAAATTGTCCCTACTAGGGATGCACGATATCGGGATTTTGGCCGATATCCGATATGCCGATATTTTAAAACTCATGTAGCCGATAACCGATATCGATACCGACGTTAAAGGAATAGTACACCCAAAACATGATTAGCCTTCATTTTCTACTCACCCCCATGCTGAACAACACTCTGGAGTACTTTTTTGATATCTCAAATGCATCTGGAGATCTGGGAGACGTTCACGAGTCTACGGAAACCGCGGCAGACCAAACCAGATGAAAGTGCGCATTCAGCTCGGCAAAGAACTCATGCTCTTCCTCAACACTGAAGTCCTCAGACATTTTTCTTTCGTTGTTTCTTTCTTTGCACAGGTAAACAGCACATTTCTTCTTCTACGCTTGCATTATCAGCAGAGCAGACGCTGAATGCGCACTTTCATCTGGTTTGGTCTGCCGCGGTTTCCGTAGACTCGTGAACGCGCTTTCAGGAAATCCTATACACTACTGTTTATGCTCTAAAAACATTCTAAATGACTTCGTTTCGAGTAAATTCTGGACGCTACCCACTCAGGACACTTGGAATACATTGGACGAGCAGTATGGAGGAATATTGACAAATTTTTTGTGGACTTTTATGGACCTTTCTGCCTCGGGCGCCCTAGACCTCCATTATTTGAATGTCAGCAGACAGCAAGAAGCCTCCCAGATCTCCAGATGCATTTGAGATATCAAAAAAGTACTCCAGAGTGTTGTTCAGCATGAGGGTGAGTAGAAAATGAAGGCTAATCATGTTTTGGGTGTACTATTCCTTTAAAGCTGGACAAAAATAAGTAGTCATTGAAAATAGCAGTTTTGTTATCCATTTCTGACACTTTGAAAAATAATAAACTCAAATATATTTTCATTTGCTGATATCAAACAGATTTTTAAAAACGCGGTATCGATCTATTTTACTTTCAAAATCTGGTGAATTTTATCGTTCTGTTACAAACTCTGGTGATATTTTGCAAATTCTTGTGAGATTTTGTTAGTAAAATAGATCGATACCGCGTCAATATATCAACATATAAAAATATGGCAAAATTTCGTGAATTTTCGGGGGATTTCGTAGCATAACGATGACATATAGCAATATTTCATTAGTAAAAGAGATTGATATGGTGTTTTTAAATGGCAATATATCAGCATATGAAGATATTGGGATATTTTAATGGATCAATATTTTTTCCCTCGTCTTTTTAAGTCTGTAAAAAAGAAGTTTTTGAGGAAAAAGAAGAAGTAGTATTTTTTTTTAGACTTTAGAAACTCAGAAGCTGATCAAATATCGGGTTAAATATCGGTGGGGTGGCCGATGTCCGATATTCAGTTTTATGGCCGATACCGATAGGGGGCCGATTATATCCTGCATCCCTAGTCCCTACCTCCTCTTCATTCAACTATCATGGTTTTAACAGAAAGAAAACTATCCAGATTGCTTTCCTGAATCCTTACAGCCTGCAGCAGATTGGTACAACCTACAGGAAGAGAACTATATAAAAATTATACCCAGAACAAATAAAGGTGTTTACATTAGCGTGTATCATGGGTGTAGGTTTGCATAGGGACCATATGGACATGTCCCTACCAAAATTTTGGCCCGACCTACTTGTCCCTACCAATAATTTCATATGAATAACATGTTTAGAATTTAAAATACAGTGTTGTGGCAGCAGTTGCTTCTTTTCTCACAACTTATGTATTAAAGTTAATAATTTAAATTCTCAGTGGCGGTTCCCCTTATAGTTCCCATGCCTATGTAAATACAATAAATCTATTTGAAGTCCCTTGAATATGTTATTTTGCTTTGTTTTACACTACAGAGAATATTAGCACATATATTTAAAAATAAGAATGGTTTTACCTCTGTTTACCTCTGCACAATTCTATTTCTTCAAAAGAAAAACACTGGATAAATACATAAACAACAGACATATTTAGACTATATTTGGTTAAAAAGATAAATATTTACCTTCCATCTTAGTCACTGGTAAGTTCAAATGTAACCCCTTTTCAAAGTGTTAAGTTGTCCCAATTTTATATCATTCCGAGCCACTGATGCTTCAAACATTGATAAACAACATCTTGTCATGTGTAGTGCTTATAAAATTTGTATAAATGTAGCAAAAATGCTGTTTTCTCTTTAAACGAAAGGCTCACTTCAAGCATAAAAAAAGGATTATACATAATGAGTAGGACCAGTGACATCAGAACAATTCAACTTAAGACCAATAGTGTCCCTACCAAAGTTGAGTTCAAACCTACGCCCTTGGCATGTATCACGCAGAGTACAATGAAGAAATATGTTTTGTTAAACATCCTGTCACGCAAAGGATTGTGGGAATAATCTATAAACTTCCTTTATGTCAGATTGAAACGCCCTGAGGTCTCTATGCTAAAGGAACTATGGCAGAGTCCTCTTCCTATCCTGGTTCCTCTTCCATGATTTAGATCCAGCCAATGATCTGCTAATTTCAGAGATGGGAAGTAACGAAGTACAAATACTTCGTTACTGTACTCAAGTAGATTTTTCTGATATTTTTACTTTACTTTACTACTTATTTTTATGGCGACTTTTTACTTCTACTCCTTACATTCTTACACAAATATCTGTACTTTCTACTCCTTACATTCTAAAAAATTGGCTCGTTACTTTAGTTTTGAATCATCATCACGACGAGATGATTGAAAATGAACACAACAGAGATCTAGTCCTATTGGCAGACATCCATTTAAAATGTAGGCAACGGCATGAAAAAAGTGGTTTCTACTTTTACTTTTATACTTTAAGTAAATGTACAAGCCTGTACTTTGTTACTTTTACTTGAATAAAGAAGTTTAATCAGTACTTCCACTTTTACCAGAGTATTTTTTAACACAAGTATCTCTACTTTTACTCAAGTGCAGAAAGTGAGTACTTTTGCCATCTCTGGCTAATTTATGTTCAGTTGTGCCACTTTGGGGCAGTCTTGGAGTTGATAACCTTTCTGTCTTTGGTCTTCCATCATCTTTGTCAAACAGTGACTGTGAAACATTGTGTCCTCGTTGATCTGCAGGCTGCACGGACGATATCGTGAGCTGGCTCCTCATTTGGTGCCGCTGGACTACACCAACAATCCAGACATCAGAGTCCCTCTGTCCCTCATCGTCACCATGCCTGAGCTGAAGGTAAACTGGTGGTGGGAGCCTCACCGGACCGAATGTTCTCCAAGGACCAAACACCAGCAGGTGGATGTTCATCTCCACTGAAATCTTCTTCTCTATCCGATGCGTGACAGGAGAACCCGTTCAGAGACAGAATCGTGGAGACGTTCTCAGAGGATGGGCAGGGGAACATGAGTTTCAACGACTTCGTCGACATGTTTTCTGCTCTCTGTGAGACTTCGCCCAGAGAGCTTAAGACGATCTACGCCTTCAAGATCTACGGTAAGATTGTGTGTCTAAGACATGAACAGGGTCGACCTGGTAGGGACTGATCTAAGGATGAAAGGAGAGGTTGCAGCTCTGATGAACCAGAATCAGTGTCCTGTCTGGCAATGTGGCTATAAGAATAATTGTCTTGATGCGTAAAAGAGCCCAACAGATTTTACTTTCACAAGTGGAGCAGCATGGATATCGCCATAGTGTTCCGCTTGATTTATGCATATCAATAGCTTCATTATAATTAATTCAGGGAGTTTTACAGATTTTATGGACACTGCAATTTAATTAGAACTGGAAAGGAAAACAGAAAAAGGAGAAAAGATGAAAGAAAGAGGAGATAAAAGGGAGATAATGATAAAACTTCTCTACCTGTTTGTATTATAACCCTGTATGCAGATGATACCATTGTGTTTTTATTACTGCTGAATTCAATGGTTTCTGATCGAATTTCAGATTTCTATGTTTGATATGCACACACAGAGATGAAAGAAGAAAGATTTAGTTGTCGTCTTCAGGTGGATCTTGTGATTGTTTCATCTATGAAACCTAATTTACTGTCTTTGTAAATTATTAGAAAAACCAGCTCATATGTGACTCAGTTTGCACTCTGACTTTTGGAACAAAGTATGATTATTTTCAAACTTCCTCCTGGTCTCATAGGGGATAAAGGGGACGTCTACTAAGTCCTGATGTGTTTGGCAGATTACCTGTTCCCACTGGGTCTCATAAACTTGATCATATACACTCACCGGCCACTTTATTAGGTACCCCATGCTAGTAACGGGTTGGACCCCCTTTTGCCTTCAGAACTGCCTCAATTCTTGGTGGCATAGATTCAACAAGGTGCTGGAAGCACTCAGGGAGTTTGGTCCATATTGACATGATGGCATCACACAGTTGCCGCAGATTTGTCGGCTGCACATCCATGATGCGAATCTCCCGTTCCACCACATCCCAAAGATGCTCTATTGGATTGAGATCTGGTGACTGTGGAGGCCATTTGAGTACAGTGAACTCATTGTCATGTTCAAGAAACCAGTCTGAGATGATTCCAGCTTTATGACATGGCGCATTATCCTGCTGAAAGTAGCCATCAGAAGTTGGGTACATTGTGGTCATAAAGGGATGGACATGGTCAGCAACAATACTCAGGTAGGCTGTGGCGTTGCAACGATGCTCAATTGGTACCAAGGGGCCCAAAGAGTGCCAAGAAAATATTCCCCACACCATGACACCACCACCACCAGCCTGAACCGTTGATACAAGGCAGGATGGATCCATGCTTTCATGTTGTAGACGCCAAATTCTGACCCTACCATCCGAATGTCGCAGCAGAAATCGAGACTCATCAGACCAGGCAACGTTTTTCCAATCTTCTATTGTCCAATTTCCATGAGCTTGTGCAAATTGTAGCCTCAGTTTCCTGTTCTTAGCTGAAAGGAGTGGCACCCGGTGTGGTCTTCTGCTGCTGTAGCCCATCTGCCTCAAAGTTCCACGTACTGTGCGTTCAGAGATGCTCTTCTGCCCACCTTGGTTGTAACGGGTGATTATTTGAGTCACTGTTGCCCTTCTATCAGCTCCAACCAGACTGGCCATTCTCCTCTGACCTCTGGCATCAACAAGGCATTTCCGCCCACAGAACTGCCGCTCACTGGATGTTTTTTCTTTTTCGGACCATTCTCTGTAAACCCTAGAGATGGTTGTGCGTGAAAATCCCAGTAGATCAGCAGTTTCTGAAATACTCAGACCAGCCCTTCTGGCACCAACAACCATGCCACGTTCAAAGTCACTCAAATCACCTTTCCTCCCCATACTGATGCTCGCTTTGAACTGCAGGAGATTGTCTTGACCATGTCTACATGCCTAAATGCACTGAGTTGCCGCCATGTGATTGGCTGCTAAGAAATTAAGTGTTAACGAGCAGTTGGACCTAATAAAGTGGCCGGTGAGTGTATGCTTCTTCTGGACAACAGAGTCTTTCTATTAATGTCTGTTTCTGTCACCTGCATCGTTGTCTCAGTCCAGACTTTCTCATTGGAGAAATAAATTACCTCTAAATTCTACTGGGACTCTGTTTTGGGTCATAAAGTTTTGGACGTTCTGGAAACGTTGGATTTTCTCTAAAATAAAACCTTAAAATTCACTATCAAATAAAACAGAGGATTCCAACCTTAGATTAGCATTCTAGATATACTCAAATACCCCATTACATAAAAAATTAAGTCAGTTTTTACAACTATTAAACTGCAAAAAAAATAATATATATAGATAGCCTTTATTGTTTCCTTTGTCTCAGCTGCAAATAAAACCCAAATATAAGCATCATCGCATGGGTAGAAGAAATATGTAAAGGAGACAGCAGTAATGTTTAATATAAAGCATAAGAATAATATTGTACAACTATTGTTTATCAGAAAAAGCAAAGTCAAAATGTTCCATAAATGTGCAGCTGGATGAAGAGATTGGCATAAAAAAGAGCAAAATAAGTATTGGATTGTGGCACCAGTAGCCTTTCATTTACAGCAGGTAGACAAGAAATGTAGAGACAGACAAGAGAGGGACGATGTAAAGCAAAGGAACCCTGGACCCCATGCAGAGATGCATCTTTGCTCTAAATCTACACAATAAGCCTGACTCCTAATAAAAACTGTGCAGGATAGAGCGGGACAGTTAAACACTTCTAGAGTTTCTGGATTCATTGATGGTTCTAAAGTCTGACAGCAGCTGGAGGAAGGATCTGTGATAACGCTCCTTAGCGCTCCTAGAGGCTGCAGACGGTCACTGAGGAGCCGCAGCTCTACAGCAGCTTCACCTGGGGAGACATCTTCCTCTTCTATTCTATTCTATTCTCTTCTCTTCGCTTCTCTTCTCTTCTATTCTATTCTATTCTCTTCTATTCTATTCTATTCTATTCTATTCTCTTCTCTTCTATTTTCTTCTCATCTATTCTCTTTGTTTCTCTTCTATTCTCTTCGCTTCTATTCTATTCTATTCTATTCTCTTCTCTTCTATTTTCTTCTCATCTATTCTCTTTGTTTCTCTTCTATTCTCTTCGCTTCTATTCTATTCTCTTCTATTCTCTTCGCTTCTCTTCTCTTCTCTTCTCTTCTATTCTATTCTTTTCTCTTCTCTTTTATTCCATGATAGAACAAAATAAAAATACTAATTAGATGCATTGAATTTGAGTTCTAATGAAAACCATTGGTAGTCCAGCAGCCTTCAGTTTTTTCTGTCTTCCTGGTCCAGATTTTAACAGAGACAGCTTCATCTGTAAGGGGGACCTGCAGAAGACCCTGAACAAGCTGACCAAAGGCGAGCTGACGCCGGAGGAGGTCGCTCTGGTGTGTGACAAAGCCATCGAGGAGGCCGACCTGGACGCGGACAGCAAGCTCTCCTTCGCTGACTTTGAGAACATGATCTCCAAAGCTCCTGATTTTCTGAGGTGACGTCCCTTTTTTATCATTTAGACATGCATGTAGGAGGAGACCTTCGGGTGGTGAGGAGCATCTGGGCTGCATGAGATAAAAGATGTTGCTGATTGGGTGGATTTAGATCTTTGTGCTGAAAGTTCTCTCCACTGCAGAGCATGCCAACCACTGGAGGAGGAGAACAGCTACTTTAATAGGAATCAACCAGCAGAGCGATTGTTTTAAAGACCGACTGAGCGTTTAGAGAGAGAGTCTGAGGTTCTAGGCTCAGTGCACCATCATCAGATCAATAATGAGCTTTTAAATGGAGGGTGCAGAGAGAGAGCAGCAGAGGCCTGGAACAATGAAATCAGAGCGGTAAACTCAGAGACACTCCAGACCGGCTCCTCTTGTTCTGCATGAAGCTGCAGAGATAAAAGGTTTTACTGCTCACCATCCATCATGGCTCCTCCGCCTGAACCGGGAGGGTGGGGTGGGGGGTTCAAACGCCGCCTATCTCACCACACCACCCCCAGCTGCATGTTATCGCTGGAAAATGAGGCTCTGGGGATGCTGTTACCATGGCAACCAAGCCTGATGAGCAGCGATGACAGGGGCCGGGGCTTCAGGTCGGATTACAGCAGGAGCCGCTGGAGACGGACCTGCTGAGTCACTGAGGTTCCTGTCAGAGCGATGATGTCACACAGGAAGATGAAGGTAGAGGAAGATGATTCTGCTCATTTTGATCATAAGATGAATGAAGTGTTTCACAATCTAAGCAGAAAGAAAACCACAGCAGAAATAAACCAAACCAAATAAAACAATGATGAGACGTGATACTGAAGGTCCAGAAAAAGCAGAAAATAAATTCACATAAAAAAATATGTTTTATAAACACAGAATAAACATAAAATCAGGCCAACATGGCAGCAGGAGAGTCAACACGATGCTGGGTGCTGATTGGCTCAGGATGAACAATCGTGACATAATAGTGATGTCAGCCTCTGTGTTCCAGCTGTGAAGTTCAGGTATTAATATAAGAAACAAGGTGCTCCAATCATAACGTTTTATTACATTTTCTCTTCATTTGATTCAGTAAATTTTATGTTTTTAATCTTGGTGGATGAGCTACGGTCCGGCTGTCATGGCTGACAAGCCTCTTCAACACTACATGGAGGTCTGGACGGTGTGTTCCAACTGTAGAGGGATGCCACTTCTCAGCCTCCCAGGATGGCCCATGTCAGGGAGCTGCAAAGCAGAGTCTGCGATTATTGAACCTTGGCTTCAGGCTTAAAGTCTGACCTGTTCCCGATGCATAGAGGCACCAGGGCTGCCCTCTATCAATGGTCCTCTGCATAACCTCCATGGATAGATGGATCACCTTCTCCAAATCTGAGGTTGAAAGTTCTCTTGTTCCTGCCTACACTGCAAAAACAATCTACAAATAAGTCAAAATGTCTCAAATTAAGTTTATTTACCCTTAATTTAAGTAAGTAAATAAGATGATTTGCCAATTGAATTAGTATTTTTACTCTTAAAATAAGGTAAATAGATAATATACACTTGAAATAAGACAATGAAATCGTTTCTTCTTATTTAAAATGCAGATCATCTTGTTCCATTGGCAAAGTGTCTCACTTACCTGCTGAATTCAAGAAAAAGTTCACTTATGTTAAGAAAAAAATGCATAATGTAGATTTTGATTTTGTCCAGTGTAAAGTGGAGAAGTTCAACCATCTTGGAGTCCTGTTCACCACGGACATCAATAGACGGATCGGTGCAGCTGCTGCTATAATGCGGACGTTAAACCGATCTATTGTGGTGAAGACTAAAGGTCTGGTTATCCTCCTGCAGCAGCGTGTCGCAGATGTTTTTGACTTCTGCCCAATATTGAAGCAATGTTATTCCACGCCACAACGCCAGAGGGCCAATCAGGAACTAGCTGTGGGTCTAGATACGGTCGAGGCGGTGAGGAAGTGGAGGCAAGTTTGTGCGACAACGGAGGGACATGAGGGCCAAAAAGAGTGGGGATAGAGGTAGGAAAAGGGTCCCAGCGTTCTCGCGCACCTCGCTCTGCTAGCTGCTCCATCTTCACCAGTCGTTTTCCACAATGGTGGCCAAACAAACAGAACCAGCCGGTAAGGAACCAAACAGGAAATATGCATAGAGTAGAGCGGATGTAGATCTGACCAATCAGAGGCCTCCTGTCTGCGACCATCTACAATTTTGGAGAGGTGCAGCAGAGCGTCTGCAGAAGGACGTCAGACGACCTGGTTTCTGTGCATAAACCAGCCTTACTAATTTCTACTACATTCCTTGACATGAAATCTGGATCATGACAGAAAGAACGGGATACAAGCGGCTGAAATTAGCTTTCCCTGCAGGGGGACTCGGACATCTTTTTCTGATGTCTCCTGGCAGCTCCTTCCCCTCAGCTGGGACACAAATACAGACTTCCTGTTTGCAGGACAGGTGACTTATCACTTGAGCGAGCTAGCCTCTGAATTAGCACCTGTGTGTGTGCATGGTTGCCAGTCTCTCTGTTGGACCGGTGACCCGTCCTTGGTGAAAATAATTTCCTCTTAGTTTGACCTTATTTTCTTGCTAAGATGTTTTGTCGGGGGCTCTCACTCTGATCCAATGCAGGGTTCGTTAGAACTGATCCTGCATCAGGAGACCCAGCACCAGGGAAGTGGTTTAGTGATGGCTCATTCTAAAAACTCACTAAGCTCCACGTGATCTGATGCCTTTTTATGACAGTGTCCTGTCTGATGAAATGGCAATTAGAATAATTGTTTTGATGCCAAAAAGAGTCCAACAGATTTTACTTTCACCAGTGGAGCAGTACGGCTATCGCTAAGTGTTCCGCCTGATTTACGCGTATAAATAGCTTCATTATAAATCATGCAGGGAGTATTACAGATTATATGGACACTGCAATGTAAATAGGACAGGACAGGAAAAACAGGAAAAAAGATGATAAAACATCTTCAGTCTGCTTCATCACCTGTAAAGAGATGTAAAAAGAACGGCACAACCGACAAATATCGTATAATAGATACAATAAAGTAACAGCTAGATATTATAGCTGAATTATAAGTAGTATGATTTAATTTGACATGTATACTTAGGTAGCTGAAGATAAGAATATGGAAAAATGCTCAATAGTGGTTGTGAGGAGCCAAAGAGGCGCCCCCCCCCAGAGCACTGTGGCGAACGCCGGGGGACCCAAAACCACAGATGGGTCATCTACCCCTGAACACCGAGCACCACCAATGCATCGGCGGGCCAAAGCGCCAGCCAGCAGAGGGTTGCAGGACGGGGGAATGGGCTTCGCACTCAGCGGAGACTTGCTTTGAGATCTGATGCTTTTTCAGTTATGGATTCATAGATTTTTTTATTTTTTCCCATGATTTTGTTGACCACAGTCAGAAACGGTTCTGGTAAAATTTCTGCTTCTCGATCATCTGACACAACGTCTAAAAAGTTCTCTGTGCTTCACTTCGTTTCTGTGCCAACGGCAACCTGCCAGGGATGGAGCGCTAAACTGTTTCTGTACAGCCGAGGCGGTGATGAGGTGGATAGCAATCTGCAGCTCAGATTAGTAGTGATCTTAGTGTTTGATAGAGTGGAGTTTATAGTGCTGAACCGTGTCTCTTTCATTGTTCTATCATCAGACACTCAGAGCTCAGGTTTTGTTCTGTATTTAGTAGGAATGCAGGAAGCACAGATGGCCTCACGTCCAGCGCTGCTTCACTGAATAAAGCAGATCACATTTAACTCCAGCAGGTTAAACTGTGCTGCTGAGACTCTAATATAGTTCATCAGAGGATGACAATAGTTTGTTCAAAAATAAGTTTTATTTTAACTTCCTTGGGTTTTATTCTAATTTACCTATTTCACCATTTTTTATGCTCAGACCTTTTATTCTGGTAATTTCTTCTATGGTTTTAGTGATGTGAGAACATGGATGCTGTCGTCTCCTTCTGCTGACACACCCAGATTCCCCCACTGTGGGACAATAAAGGGTGTTTTATTCTGAATTAGATACACCTCATCTGTCCAGATGTAGCTGCAATAGCAGCTAATTGCAGTTTAGGAGAGTTAAGATGGCGTGTGATGCAGCCATGCAGGCCATAATAATCAAAATGTGAAAACTAAGCAGCCCAGACTCTCATATATTAGTGAACACTGACTGCCATGCTAACTGCAGTGAGTTCATATCTGTGTAGCTTTCATTTCTTAGCTATAAATACAGTAAATATCACAGCTCTTTCATTATATTAAGTCTTCTTTATTTTCTAAAAGGCAACAAACATGATTTTTAATCACTAACTAATGTTATTATCCTCCTCTATTGGTTCTGGTTGTTCAGGATTTTCTTTCTGATTAAATGTGTGTCTGTTTTTTGTAAATATGTGTGTCTGCTCTTTTATAGTAAAATTTGAATAAAGCCAATAATAGCCGTAAATTCCAAAAAAGTAAAAAAAACTATTCGCTGAACTTTGTTTTCTAAGTTATAAGACGTTTCGCTTTTTCAATTCAAAATGTCAGAATTAGCGTTGAATTCCAGGTTCATAGAGTAGCCCATAAAGCCTTGTTATAGCTTAGAAAACATGGAAATCGAACTGCTGGAACGGGTCCGCCCTTTAGAAATGGGGGACGGTCAGGTTTTCGTTAGCCTGCAGAACAAGATACTGGTCTATGCCTATGAAAGGGTAGCCTCGTGAGACCATCCTGATCTTTCAAGGTTTCACTCTCAGATCAGTCTGGAGACTCTCCGTTGAAGAAAACTTGGAGCCGTTCACCAAACGAACGTCCAATCAGCGTTGGCTTTGAGGCGGGTTGAGGTGTGACGCAACGAGAAGCGCGACAGTTCAGTCTAAAGAACATGGCGGCTTCAGCCGATGAAACTAGCGTTAGCGTGGCTATCGAGCAAGTTTTATCGGAATTACAGAGTATTTCTTCACTGAAAGAAGAGCAAAACACTGCTCTGGAGGCTTTTCTCAGAGGAAAAGATGTTTTTGCTCTTCTTCCGACTGGTTTCGGCAAGAGTTTGATCTATCAATTGGCTCCTCTTCGTCGTCGCTCTGTTAGTACGTCATATGCTTCGTTGATCTGATTGGTTTATTTGGCCCGTCTATCACCAACATAGGCCAATCAGCTAACCACTATTTTCGCCCCTTCCCAAAGTTACTTCAACGGAAGGTTTCCAGGCTTACCAGGTGAGCTGTCTTGGTCCCCTGACTATGACCTGGATGACTGAGAATCTTCACCCGCAATAGCCCATTAATTCAGTAGGTAAATGTTAAACTGCCAACCACAAAGTTTCCAAATCAGGTAATAACAATCATTCATCCTACATCCAACATAAAGCACCGATAGTTTTCATTATAAAGCAACAGTGTAAATGTTGGATTGTCCGTCTTACTGTTTTTCAATTAGTTATGTCAACCAGAGGTGGGGACTCGAGTTTGTGACTCATACTCGAGTCACACTTAAGTCGCATATTTAATTACTTCAGACTCGACCGAGACTCGCGATTTCCGACTTGTGAACTATATATTTTTTAACCGTTTTTTGTTTTACTAACTTGACTGATCCCCGCTCGCCTTACCCAGCAGAGGTAAAAAAAAACACCAAAAAAAACGGCAGAGGGGCTGTCAAACAGTCATGTAGCACTGACGTCACTGACCAGTTCAAGATAATGATCATTCCATAGATATAATAGTGACCTTTAAGCTATACCGTCTCAGTGAAGGAGATGAAAACACAAGGAGAAACAAGCAAGCACGCAAATAGACTTGAGACTTGACTTGGACTTGCAAAAAATGACTTGTGAACATTGTCCACACAGGCAGCATTAGCTTAAAGATACACAATGAAGAATAACTTAGAAAAGAAAATAATCTTTTAGTCGTGTCATGCAAAAAACTGGGCAACTATATAGCTACAAGCAGCAGCTAGAAATATTCGGACAGAGGTAACGGATTAGCAGACATTTATAAATTATCCCATGTTGTCTAATTTCACTTTCGCCTCTTCTGCTGTTAATACGGTAAAGCCCTGGGGAGCGTCCGGCTCCAGGCTGCACGTGATCCAAATGAGCCAATGAGCTGTCAGTCTGGGTTGCTGCTGCTGCTACTTTTAGACACAGCAGGCAAACCTGTGGCAAGCCGGGCGATGGGAAAGAAGGAGAAGACCATGAGAAAAAGAGAGCAGAGAAAGTGTGGACTGCTGGAAGAACTGCGGTGAACTGGTGAAAGAAAAGTGAAACAGGGTGCTAAAAAATGCTGTCCTATAAAATGGTCTCTGCTGTTCTGCTTTTAATGATCCATAAAACATTAAAACATCTGCTTTTTGTTTGTCTCTGCAGTAACTTCCACATAAGGATATGAGACACAGCCACCAACAGAGGACAGATGTCTCATCCAGCTGTGTTCCTATATCCACCGGGAGTCTGAGGAACCAGCCTCTGATGGATGGTTCCGGACCTTCTGGATCACCGAGGCGATGTTGTTTCTGCTGCCAGCTGCAGAGCTCCGGACTGGACTCCTGTGTTTTCGTAGAGACCCAGCAGCCTGGCGCTGCAGGACCGTGACTTCAGTGCTTTCCAGTCCGACTCTGGTCTAAAAGCACACAGTTAAAGGGCAAACCGTGAGCAGCTATGCAATCTTTCTTGCTGACATGCATGTTGTAAATAGCTTCCTCTGCTGCTGAGACTGTAAATGTGCTTTAGTGAAGTGTTCTGGTGCAAACTGACAATCATTGTAAACTGTAGCTCAGTTATTGGAAGGGCTCTCTGTCAGTCTGGCTTTCACACACCTTCTCCTGCCCACAGGCAACCTGATCAAACACCTTCCACCCGTTCACCGGAGTGTTTTCTGACTAGAAGCGAATAAAAGCTGTTTTCTTCCACTGTGTCTCATGGTTATTGAACTGATTCCTGTTATCTTTGTACAGGAACAGCCAGTCTGTAGCTAAAAAAACTAAATCAGAAAACATAGCTGGATCAGTTTCCCTCTTCAAACATCTGCAAACCTGTGAAAGCAGATTAGTGAGAAGAGGAGATCTTCTTTTAGCAGGAACGGCTGCTGCTCTCAGGTCTGCAGAGCATTCATCCTGATTATCCTGAGCAGCCAGCTGTGCTGAGGGCAGCATTTCCTTCTGCTGCTGCAGGAACACAGCCTCAGGTGCTGCCGACAGCCCCACCAGGGGGCGCTTTGGGGCCAGAGGTCATGAGAACCAGGGGCTGCTCAGGTTTTCTGCTCCTTCTGTGTTCTTGAACAAATCTAAAGTTTAGGAGGCTGGATGGGATCTTTAATGTCTGGATCTTTGACATCGTTTAGTGCTGGATCACCTGCTGAGCAGCTGTTTGCAGATGTTTAGACCACTCTGCCTTATTCCCCAAAGTAACAGGAAGCAAGGCTGAGAGACAGTTATTGTTATTTACTATAACTCTCAATGTTCGATGGGGGATTTATCATTAGGCAATACTAGGCAACTGCCTAGGGCCCCAAGTTCCTGGGGGCCCATAAAACTCTGTTTACATTAATAGTTAATACAATTATTCCTTTTATGTGCATATTAATAATTTTTCATCCATCCATCCATCCATCCATCCATCCATCCATCCATCCATCCATCCATCCATCCATCCATCCATCCATCCATCCATCCATCCATCCATCCATCAACCATCCATCCATCCATCCATCCATCCATCCATCCATCCATCCATCCATCCATCCATCCATCTTCCTCCGCTTATCCGGGGTCGGGTCGCGGGGGCAGCAGCCTAAGAAGGGAGGCCCAGACTTCCCTCTCCCCAGCCACTTCTTCTAGCTCTTCAGGAGGAACCCGGGCGTTCCCAGGCCAGCAGAGAAACAGTCTCTCCAGCGTGTCCTGGGTCTCCCCCTGGGCCTACCCCCGGTGGGACATTCCTGGAACACCTAATAATTTTTTTAAATGAAAATCATTTCCTTAAAATGCCATCAGAACGCTGATAATATTAAGTGTGTCTCATTTAATTCATTTAATTTATACTGCACTTTTCACCAAAAAGGCCTCAAAGTGCTACAAAAAAGCATTTAAAAAAGCATTAAAAAAGAAATGCATAGAGATAAAAGAAATAAAATAAAATAATAAAAGCTGTTTTAAAAGAGAAAAAGGAAACATCTAAGGGGGACCAAAAGTTTTGCTAAAAAGAAATGTTTTAAGGCCTTTTTTAAAACACTCAGTGGACTGAGGAGGTCAAGGTGTCAGGGAGGGAATTCCACAGACGTGGGGCAGCAGCACAAAATGCTCCATCTCCCATCGTCCTGAGTCTGGTTCTGGGAATGTGGAGCAGGTTTGAGTGAGTGGAGCGAAGTTCTTTGAGGTGGGGGGGGGGCATGTCCATGGATGCATTGATGTGTGAGGAGGGAGACCTTGTATTCTATCCTGGTGGGGATGGGAAGCCAGTGCAGTGACTGGAGAACGGGGGTAATGTGCTCATGTTTCCGCACTCTCATCAGGATCCTAGCTGCAGAGTTTTGAACGTACTGAAGCCTCTGCAGACTCTTTTTAGGGATCCCAATGAGAAGTGCATTGCAATAGTCCAGTCTGGAGGAGACCAAGGCATGGACCAGCTTCTCGGAGTTTGGAGATGTTACGGAGGTGGTAGAAAGACGTCTTGCATAATTGATTTATGTGGGCTTCAAAAGTGAGTAGTGAGTCCATTCTTACACCAAGATTACTAACGGTTGATGAAAGCGGAATGTTAGTACCAGAAAAAGTGATGCTGGTTATGGTTAGTGATTTAGTTTGATGAGGAGTTCCAACCAGGATGGCTTTGGTTTTGGAGCTATTTAGTTGAAGAAACTTTTCCTCCATCCATACCTTTATCTCCTCCAGACAGGTGGTGAGTTTTGATGGGGATGACTGTGAGGCTTACATTTACATACATTTTCATTCTTAAAATGTAAAAGCATGTCTAAAAATGCTTTTTCATTTTAAATATGGTAACGATTTGCTTTCATACAAACAGACAGCAGCAAACCATTTGAAAACAAACCATGCAAAGAGCAGTGTTGCTAACTTAGCGCTTTAGTCGCTATATTTAGCCACTTTTCAGACCCCTCTAGCACTTTGATTTCTAAAAAGCTCCTAGCGCCAAATCTAGAGACTTTTTTCTGCTACTGGAGACTTTGGAGACAACATCTAAAAGCAGCGAACTCTGCTCTCCAGAGCGAGTAGATTGGTAACCCCGCCTCCTGCTCTCCTCTATCTTGTCTGCTGTCATGATTCATGCAGCTATTATTTCATCCAAATGAAAAATGGAGAACAGATAAGCAGATCATGGCTTGTCTACAGTGAAAAGAAGGACTGGGTTATTTACTTTGGCCTTTTTGGAAACACAGGAAGGAGCAATCAGCTAAGTGAGCTTAGTGCTTGGAAAAAATCTTTCATTCCTTTAGAGACAGCATGAAAAGTCAGCTGAGTACAAAACATAGAGAGGAAAACAAGAAGAAAAGGGACAAGAAGAGAGGGACACAACCTAGAACAGATAATGGATGTCTATTCTATTAACATTTCTCTATCTGGAGAATGGGGCTGTTTGATCTCTTGTCTGTTCAGAGGGGCCCCTACCTGTCTTTGCCTCCTAAATGCACCCCTGCAGTGGTCATAATGTTTTTCCCATCCAGTGATCTGCAGCCTTTCTCATTACTAATGTGTCTAAACCTCATTATGCTGAGCTGGTTGTGGATGTTCCCTCGTCTGACCGCTGGGGGGCGCTAATAGACAAGGAACAAAGCGTTGAGGTTTTTTGACTGAAGGAGCCTCATTCTGTCTCCATCAAAGCTCTAATAACAAAACTGTTTATATTGTTTCTCATCTGGTTTAGGATCAAGTTTCTTCCCTTCGCTGTCATCAGATTCAGTCAAACTGAAGCATAAATATATTCATTTTCCCCTCCAGCAAAGTGGGAAGAATTTTATATATATGTATATATAGTATGATGTGTATATAACATTGTTGATTTAAACACATCATCTTGATTTGCAAGTTGCCGCGGTAACTCCCTGAGGACTCCATGAAGGACATGTTGGTGCCAGAGAACGGTTTATGAGCTGCAGAGACGATTCAGGGCGATAAGAACAGTGAAAAATGTAGAGGAAATCCAGTACAGTTTACAACCTGTTAGCTGCATAATGTGGACTTTGAACACTTGTCTGTTTAGCTTATGAATAAACATCAAAATCCTCAGTTTATTGTTATTCATGTAAGACTTGGGATCAGTTTTACTGGTCCAGATTGTGTTTCAATAGCAGCAGCATATAGAAAACGATTATAAATACATAAACTCTAGAGGGGTAATGAGAAAGCAACAGTCTGTACACATGTTTGCACAGTAATTTATTCCTTTAGGGTCTGGGAGGTGTTGATTGTGTCCATCAGAGAGACAATATAGGAAGAAAATGTTAAAATTTTACTTTCTCTATCTGGTTTGAGTAAATTGAGTAAAAAAAGTACAAAATTACTTCATTTAAAATATAATTTGAGTAAAAGTTACTTAGTTACTTTGAGTTATTTAATGCAAAAAAAGGATGAGTCAAGGCGTATTTCAGTGGACATCCACACTGCAAAAGATCAGCAGGGCTAAAGAACATACTTCCTCACAGCAGAAGGACAGTCACAACCTGAACCATAAAGTGCAAACTATTTTCAAACCTAATGTCCAACAGACACCATGATAACTAACGTACCGCCACATTTTTTCGTAAATTGGATTTTGATGTTTTAAAAGTCAAGTGTCAGAGTCTGGTCCGCATTGCCGGCAGTAAGTCGGGCTCGTTTCCGGTGAGAGTTGGACTCCACCAGGGTTGCCCTTTGTCACCGATTCTGTTCATAACTTTTATGGACAGAATTTCTAGGCGCAGCCAAGGTGTGTAGGGGATCCGTTTTGGTGGCCTTAGGATTGCGTCTCTGCTTTTTGCAGATGATGTGGTCCTATTGGCTTCATCAGGTCGTGATCTGCAGCTCTCGCTGGATCGGCTTGCAGCCGAGTGTGAAGCGGCCGGGATGGGGATCAGTGCCTCCAAATCCGAGGCCATGGTCTTGAGCCGGAAAAGGGTAGAGTGCCTTCTCCGGGTCAGGGGGGGTGTCCTGCCCCAAGTGGAGAAGTTTAAGTATCTTGGGATCTTGTTCACGAATGAGGGAAGAAGGGAGCGGGAGATGGACAGGCGGATTGGCGCAGCGTCTGCCGTGAAGCGGGCGCTGTACCGGTCCGTCGTGGTGAAAAGAGAGCTGAGTCAAAAAGCGAAGCTCTCGATTTACAGGTTGATCTACGTTCCTACCCTCATCTATGGTCATGAACTCTGGGTCATGACCGAAGGAACGAGATCGCGGATACAAGCGGCCGAAATGGGTTTCCTCCGTAGGGTGGCTGGGCTCTCCCTTAGAGATAGGGGGAGAAGCTCGGTCATCCGGGAGGGACTCGGAGTAGAGCCGCTGCTCCTCCACGTCGAGAGGAGCCAGTTGAGGTGGCTCGGGCATCTGGTTAGGATGCCTCCTGGACGCCTCCCTGGTGAGGTGTTCCGGGCACGTCCCACCAGGGGGAGGCCCAGGGGGAGACCCAGGACACGCTGGAGAGACTATGTTTCTCTGCTGGCCTGGGAACGCCTTGGGGTTCCTCCTGAAGAGCTGGAAGAAGTGGCCTTCTCCCTTCTTAGGCTGCTAAGATGGATGGATGGATGGATGGATGGATGGATGGATGGATGTTTTAAAAGCCGAAAGCTCCGTTTTGCTGGGCAGCCACATGTTGCACTGCATTATCACATTGTTCCCTTTTGTGCATTTGAAAACAAATTATCCTTCCAAATATGGCCGAGGGTTTTTCTGGCTTTCGTCTCCAGAATATGTTTCCTCTTCAGGCC